AAGGGCACCATATCTGTGCATCTAAGGGGGGATACAAGGTACTGGAAGTGTTTGTGGACCTAGCTGGCGCTTCTCCGCCTTCCGACCCAGGCAGAGCGTCTCTGTGAAACTCTTCGGACATTTGCCCCATGTCCTGCTCCTCCTCCGCTTCAAGCGGATCAGAGTCTAAATCAAACAGAGGCGCATACCTATTGTTGACGTAGCGCCTATGTAGGCTGGTCGTGGCACGATCGACCCCCCCCCCCCCCCCCCCCCTCTCGACCGTCACCCCCCTCCTCATTCAGACCGACCGATCTACGCATATGGATCCCCACTGGCGGATCAGAGTCGGTCGCAACTGACCTGTTGCTGGTGCGTGCATTGCATACTCTACTATCACGGAACTTTGTGTCGGGCTGATCTCTCCCCCTGGATCCAGCCCCCCTCATGCGCGACCTGGCCGCGGTGGAGGAGTGGAGGAGAATATGATGACCCAAGAGAGGGGCATTATCACCATGCCTGTAGGTCCCAACAAAGCTATTCCCGAAACGTACCACTCTTAGGCGGTCCTGGCTTCTTTCCTGGGTGGGCTGTTTATCTCCTTGGGACCCCCACCCGCCGGCAGCTAAAGCGGATCCCCCTGCGAGAGGGCCCCGGGAAAAAAAAAGGCTGGGTTGGTGCCAAAAAAGGGCGCTCCTATCACATGGCCCTTTAATCTCCTCCATTTCCTCATCTTTGGCCTCCGCCTTAGCCTGGGTGCCGTAGGGATCCTCCGCGATCTCCGTGGGCGAGGCGCTCACCTCCACCATGATGGGGGACTGCGAGATGCCCCTGCCCTCGCTCTGCACTGGCGTTGCTGTACCTCCGATCGGCGTTGGCGGACATGGCTGCGCCGCTGGGATACTTGATGGCGAGTTTGGTATACCACCTTCTGCATGATTAGACGCGCTAGTGTTGGTCTGCTGCTGCAAGTGGGTCATGATCGTATCCATTCGAGTATCATTGTATGTATGGCGCTGGCATAACATTTTTACCATCTCCGACAATTGATTGATCTCCATGTCTGGCTGATAGGACTGAGGCGGCATCGGTGGGAACGGCTGTTGTTGCTGCATTCCCTGTGGGGCGAAAACTCCACTCATATTCATGCCCATCGCTGGTGTGCAGGCTGGAGGCGGCGGCGGCGGTACTGGTGCTGGTCTCCCGCCCATGTTTACATTGTCGCCCGTCATGGCCTCATCCTCTTCCCCCACCATGTAATCCTCCAGCTCTTCCAGTTCGTCGATGGCTGCTTTCCCCTCGGCTAAGTCTTTCTCCGCATCTCGATACTGAATTTGCATCTCATTGATCTTGGCCATCATGGTTTTCAAGTAGGTCTGGCATTTGTCCCTTTTGATTTTGAAGTCCGCCGACGGATCCACCAATCTCTCCGTAGTGCTCATCATGTATTTTAGACATGCCACCTCCTTGATGTAGTGATTCTGATCCGTTTTCCCAGCTCTGACGGCAACTATGATCAGGCGAGCAATCTCGAACATCCTCTGCTTGGTTTTGGCCTTGTAGGCCTTGATACCTGGAATATCAGCTGGCACCTGTTCGTACCCGAGAATCTGCATGTATGAGACTGCTTCTGACCTTTTCATCGTGACAACTCTGCCTAGAGACCTTTTGATATCCTCTTGTTCTTGACGCATGCCTTTTCGATCCGGTTCATGGAAGTCCTTCTGACCATCTCTCTTTGACCGACTGTGAGGTCGTCGTGAATGTTGCTGTTGCTGACTCTGGGGTGTCTTCCCTCTGACGCGCTGCTCATAGTTTCGTCCACATGGACACGCCCAGTGGTACCCCCGTACGTACCGTCCGCATGCGCAACCCCACATGTGACCAGGTCCTGAAGGCTTCAGGGCATCTTCACAAAAAGGGGCGTACTATGATGACTTCTTAATAGGGACAGGGTTTGTATAATGATAGCAGGACTCTCGCTCGACGCCGGCGCTCTCTGGCACGCCGATGCCAGCGCGGCTCACGCGCCGTGATGTGCGGTGGGAGAAGGAAAGTACAGGGAATAAAAGAGAAACTTACAATATTCTTCTTCGCGGCCTTGCACAGGCACGCCTAAGGCTCGGCCTGCACCTGGGCCAAACGCCTTCTTTTCCTCCTCCTCCTCCTCCTCCTCCTCCCCCCCCTCCTCCTCCTCCTCCTCCCTGCCCGCGTGACACCTCTTCTTCTTCGCGCAAGCAACCTGCCAGGGAATACGCGAGGCGGCATGCCCGGGGAGCGCCGGCACGCCCCGGGCCAGGCGGCCGCGGTATACGCCGGGTGGGCGAGGCAGGCCGGGGGCCTCGGCCTTTCAAGTGCGGCGACGGCACCGGATAAGGAACCGCTGGCTAATGAATCTCGGGCCGGGCGAAGAGGGGGGATAGCAAAGGGGGGGGGTGAGCCTCAGCTCACGTAGCTGATTTTCCCGGCGCCTCCCGGCGCCTGAAGCGGCCATGTATCGAGGAATGGGCCCGGCGGCGGGGCCGAAACCAGCTGCATGCAGCAGATTTCGTACCCCCCCCTTTCCCAATCCGCCCATTTCGTCGGGCCCGAGAATCCAGGGACTGGAAGCCGGCGGCACTCCAATCGTGGAGTGGCCATGGGTATCACCGCCGCCCTGATCGGAGAAGGAATCCTCCAGGGTCTCAAGCCTCCTAGGCACATTCCTCCATGAACGCCCCCACCGTAGCCGGCCCTAACCTGCCGGACAGGGAGAAGTCACGACGCCCAGATCTCAAAAGTCAGATCCTCGGGCCCGAATTCGGTGGGTCCCCGACCATACGTTTTTTGTCTCACGATGTGGACCCCCAGAAGTCTCGACCCATTCCCTGGGACCGGTGTTTATCTCGATTCGTTCTTTTACAGCCCCGAGGCCAGGCAAGGGCCCAAATAATAAAACATATGACGTCGCGTTCTTGCGTGACCAGAGGAGGTCTGGAAACCTGGATCGTCGTCCCCCTGCAGGGACTGCGGCACCGGACATAAGGCCTGCGCCCTTGCAGAATACCTTCCGTCGTGATTGTTTTACGGCCCGAGTGGTTCGTTTGGCGACGCGCAGATTCTTGGAAGCACCGCTGCTTCTTGGAAGACGCGGGCCTCACGTCTACAGATAAATAAGGCCGTTCCTTCTAAGAGGCAGTGGTCTTAGCTGCCCCGATACGCAACACGCAACACGTGCCGCGTCGATACGGAACTCAATCCAATACGTGCAGCCAACACGCAACGTATTGACACGGACGTCTTGAACACGGGACGTGTTGCGCTTCACAACGTGCGTATCGAGGCAACTAAGACAGTGGTGCTTCTAAGAACCCCCCCCTCCCCCTGCGTCGGGCCGAGGCTGCCCGATTGGGCCCTGCCTGTAGACGTGAGGCCCGCGCCTCTTGCGGAGCCGCGGTGCTTCTACTAAGATTAGGTCGGGCATGTGCCCCTACAGTCGGGGAGACGTCAGACTCGGGTTCGGGGAACTCGGGCTGGCCTGACGGGGCCATCATGAAAATAAGGAGGCCCAATCTGAAATCTGACGCGAGCTCCCGCTGCAAACCTCCCACGAAAACTGGACCGCCCAAGTCCAGGACCCGCTCGTCAAAAAACGTTGGCAAACCCTCGAGTTCCTGCATTCTCGAGTCTTACGTCTCCCCGATTATACTAAGATTAGGTCGGGCATATCCCCCTACAGGCGGAATCTGGGCGAAAGATTAGCAATCAAACAAAAAGGAACAAAAAGGCCAGGAATAGTCAAAACATCGTCACTGGACTATGTTTGACCATTTTCGAACGTTCCTCCTGTACAGGGACACGCCCGACTTACTACTAAGAAGCCTCCCCCCTACCCTGGCCATCGCTCGGACGTCCATTCCTCGTGCCGTTTTCGGCCTCGTGCGCGCATGTGTCCCGCAGATTCTCCAAGGAGCTCCTCAGTGGCCCTCGCCGGAGAACTCCCCCCCGCGATGCCAAGTCTCCTTCTAAGAAGCCTCCCCCCCTCGCCCATACTTGGACGCCCGAGTTATGCGGAATAACTGCGGACTGGGGTTCACTCCGCTTTGGGCCTCCGAGGCGCGAGTCTGCAGTTACCCTTGACCGCCACCTGCCCTGATGATTCGGGAGGGTTTGGCGCCCGAGTGATCCAGGACAACTGCGGTCCGGGGTAACTCCGGTTTGGGCCCCCGAGGCGCGAATCTCCTGACCGCCACCAGCCCTGATGATTCGGGGCCCTGACCTGCCCCTCTCTGCGCGCCGCCCAGAGAACCACTCGGGCCGTGCAGAGACCGCGACGGAAGGTGGTCCGCCCCTGCAACGGACTTGCGGCCGGCGCCGACGACCCTGCAGAGAGGCGACGATCCAGGTTCCCAGACCCCCTCGGTTCGTGAAACAAACACGGCGGCATGTTTTTGTTGCGTTCTTGGGCCCGGGGGTCCCTTGCCCGGCCTCGGGGCCTGTCAGAAACGACTCGGGGTGACAAATCGGAGGCCTCGGGGAGTCCACGTCGTGAAAAAAAAAAACCTTCCCCGTGCCCCCCTCTGCGCGCGGCCGATTCTTAGAAGAAGAAAGAACTGCGTAAGCATTCACTTCTGGCGCTCCGCGCGGAGCGCCGAAGCTTTGTGTGTTTCTGCCATGGTGTTCTTCTTCGGATTCTGAGGGCCTGGATCTGTGGGCGCCCCGTGGCCGAGTCTGCGAACCTGGATACCCTGAGAGCCAACGTAGCGGAAAACATGCAACATCGTACAAACATCACGCCCGGAACCCTGGACCCCATCTTGCTGCGTCATGTCTCGAGCCGGATCGATCTGTGAGGGCCCCAGGGCCCGAGAAACACGCACACACGCCTGGCTCGAAAAGATCGAGACCGCTTTGTTCTGCATCATTTCTCGAGCCGGATCGATCTGTGAGGGTCCCAGGGCCCGAAGAAAGCAGGAAAAAAACCTGGCTCGAAAAAAATGTCACGCCAGGATCTCAGGGTCTGGGGGCTCCCCGCGGCATGCCTGCTCCACGTCCAGGGCCAGCTGCCTGCACTGCTCCTCAGTCAGGTGATCGGAGGCGCGCATCGAGTTGAGCGTCACGAGCCACCCCGCGATGCGGTCGAGCCCCGTGAGCGCGGGCAGGTTGGGGATGGCCACGATGCTGGCCTTCCCAGACAAGGAGGAGGAGGAGGAGGAGGAGGAGGAGGAGGAGGAGGAGGAGGAGGAGGAGGCAGAGGAGGCAGAGGAGGAGGAGGAGGATGAGGAGGAGGAGGAAGAAGAGGAGGAGGAGGAGGAGGACGAGGAGGCAGAGGAGGAGGAGGCAGAGGAGGAGGGGGAGGAGGAGGAGGACAAGGAGGAGAGGGAGGAGGAGAACGACGACGACGACGATGACGACGACGACGGAAAAAACACGATACCAATGCTGCTGCCCTGGCCTCGTGTTCGCCCTGCTGGGCCCCGCGGGAGGCCCTCGCCGCCAAGGCTCGAGTCGCCTCGGAGTTCTGGCCAGAACGCACCCTAGAAGAGGTCCAGGGAGGAGCGGCATCGGCACCGCACGGTTTCCCCAGACATGCCCGCGTCGTGAACAAAAAACACGGCGGGCAGTTTTTGGCAGCTTTCGCCCTCAAGGTGGGCCCTCGCCAGGCCGCGGGAGCGTCGAAATACACTCGGGACGAAGGACACCGGCCCTTTGGAAGATGGTCGAGCCTTCCTGGGACCCCGCAGTGAGGAAAGGAGGAGGAGGAGGAGGAGGAGGAGGAGGAGGAGGAAACGAGACGGCGCCGGGACGGTCAACCACACCTGTTTCCCGAGCGCTCCAGCCTGCACGGCGGAAGTGACTGCCAAACTGGCCCTGCCTGGTCTGGAATGTGAAACAGCGGGGACTCAAAGTCGGACGCGAACTAATGGGGGTGGCGATACACGGAGGGGAGGGGCGAGGTGCCCCTGTCGGGCCCGAACGGCCCCCTTCTGGGCCCGAAAGGACCCCTGCAGGGGCCACAAAGGGGCTCCTTTTCAGACAGCCCTCGCTGCCCCCCCTAAGACGAAGCCAGGACGAGGGCAAATATGCGTGAGGATCAATCGAGAAATCTCTTGGATCTGGCAGCTCTGGAAGATGTCTCGGGCGCCGCGGCCTTCCCAGTGCGTCCGGGAACGCTCTGAGAGCGTTCCGGAACACTCTGGAACGGATTTACCCTCGTCCCAGCCCCGCCCGTCCATTACAGTCAACCCGTATTATAAGGATACGCGGTGAGGATAAGGGCCTTGGAGGCCCATGTGACCGTTTTTCGAACGAGGTTGGCCAACGAAAGTGGCCAAGGCGGGGTCGAAGGGGCAAGGATGCAAGGGTACCCTTGGGAAGGCTGCCCATCCTTACTTTTCGGGTCGACTGTACGAGTCCTTCGAGCCAAACTGACCCTGCCCGGTCCGCAAAACTGAAACAGCCGGACTCGAGGGTCCCGCTCCCCCCCCCCCGCCGGCGGCGAGAGGGAGGGAGCAGCGGAGGGGAAGGGACGGCAGGCGGGAGGGGCGCACGCGCACGCTGCCAGCAAGCCTGTCGGCCCGGCGCGCGCAGGAGGGGGAGGAAGAGGAGGAGGAGGAGGAGGAGGAGGAGGAGGAGGAGGAGGAGGAGCGCAGGGAGGCCAGAGCCTGGGCGGCGAGCAAGGTTAGGAAACAACTACTGGGAGGTCTTCGTCGGAAGGATTTTTTTTTGTATCCTGTGCGGCCAGCATCTCTGGCGCCAGGACCCAGTGCGCAATACAGGCCGTTGTGTACAACAAGTCGGGCGGCAAGCGCAATTCGAGAGGCGGCGCAGCAGAGACTGTGATCACTGTCTTGTCCACGTGGGTCTCGGGAGGAGGGGGACAGGAGGGGCAGGAGGAGGAGGAGCAGGAGGAGGAAGTGGGCCAGGGACGAGGGAGAGTGGTCAATCGACCGCAGGAGGCACCGCCTGGCAGATACCGATGAGGCGAAGGGTAGCACTTTGGCTCACACTCCTCCTCGTCTGCCTGCTGCTCCCCAACTCTGGTCCATCTCCTCCTCCTCCTCCTCCCTGGCTGACGCGCTGACACAAGGTTTCGCTTCGCGACCGGTCCTAGCCTATCCTGCCCCCGGTTCACACGAGGAAGTCCATCAGGCTGGGCTCCCGCGTCGCGGAGCCCCCACCTTCCTCCCCGAACATGCTCCTCGTGAAGCGCAGCATGTCCCCGAGGGCCAACTCCCCCGGCCTCTTCCACAGCGTGAGCCTCGCCTCGCCGGTCAGCAGCCCGGGCACCTGGGCGTCCTGCTCCTCCGTGAAGCCGCCGTCCGCGCAGCGGCCCTCCTGGAAGCCCGCGGCCGCCACTGCAAGGTCGGCGTACCTGCGTGCGGCGGTGGCCTGGAAGCACTCGGCGCCTTCGGAGCGGTAGATTGTGGTCCAGCCCTCGTCCGCCTCCGCCGGCTTCGCGCCCCACGCGTACACGTCCGCCTGGACGCCCGGGCCCTTGGCCACGGTCTCGTTGTAGATCTCGTAGCCGAGGCTCGCGCACACGGCGCCGCTCTCGGCTTCTACGAGGCTCGGCGCGAAGAACCTGGCCACGAGGGCGGCCTGCGGCGTCATGCAGACTTCGCTGCACAGCCGCTTCTCGTCGGTGATCTCGTAATACTTTGATCTTCCCTCCTCGCAGGTCTTGCAGCACACCGGCAACCTCTCGGTGGGCAGGCCCATCGCCCGGGCGAGGGCCTGGCTCAAGGCGCCCTTGCCCGCCTTCTTCAGGCCGGCCAGGGGGTCCGCCTTCTTGTAGAGCGTCACGTTGACGTGCCCGCCGATGATTGGCACAACGGCGCTGCGGCTGCCCGTCGGCTCCTCGTAGCCATGGGCGCCGCAATGGCCCTCCGCCATCTGGAGCCACTTCTCCGCTGCCTCCTTCAGCCGCGCATCTATCGTGAACTGACCACACTCGTCGGGGCCCTGTGACACCTTGTACAGGGTCACGGTGGTGGCTGGCAACTCTGGCGCATTTGCCTGGCCGGCAGCCGCAACGAGCGGCGCGAGGGACCAGGCGGCAAGCAGCCGCATGACTGCGGGCTCTCTTCCCGTCTACTTCCGGCGCGAGACCGGGGCAGCGGCAGCGAGCGCCCTTGAGCCAAAATGGCTACGGAAGGTCTTCGTCGGAAGGATTGGGGAGAGTTAAACGCCCCATTGGAGGGCTGTTACGCCGGAAATGGGCCGCGGATCAGGCGGGATTAAGCCAGATGGCGCCGGCTTGAGCCAGATTCAACGGGATCAAGCCGGATTCAGCTGGATGTGGGACCAGGCCAAAGTCAGAATTTGACCTCCCAGGAGTTGCATCAGAAGCGGGGGGGGAGTGAGAAGGCGAAGGTTTTCTCAGAAGGCGGCGGGGCTTCTCAGAAGCCCTCGGGCCTTCTGAACGGCTTGCTGTGTCTTCGGGGGTGACTCAGAAAATGTCTCAGAAGGCTGGGGGACTTCCGAGCTCTCTGAGGAGGCCCACCTCGTCTCACTTCCCCCCTCGCTCGCCGCAGAATGCTGGCCGTCATCAGCCCCGACGTTGTGCTGAGGTTGCCCAACGGAGCCCGAGTTGCGGAGAAGGTGTCGCTGGGGCCCCAAATCCAGCCACTTACCAAAACATGGTAAGCAATATCAGTGCCCCTGACCCTTTGGGAGGGGACCTAAGTCCGGAGGGCCAGAAACGTTATGGTCGGGTGGTCTTCTTTGCGGACGTAGCAAACGAAGCCACCCATATGCGCAGGGATATCCCTGAGAACTGGTGACCTAAGTTGGGTCACGAACACATTCTGATGTTAGGATTAGGGGTCGTATATGCTGAATGAAAACAGCTCCCTGGACAGCGGCGAGGTTTCAAGCAGCTCCCCACCGTCCCCGCGCGCTCTCACGCCGCCAAATGTGGCTGTCGCTGCCCGTGTTTTATCTTCACTGTCAGCCAGAGCCAAGGCCTTCATGCGAGACCCTCCGCGGGCCAAGCCCTTCCCCGAAGAACAGCCATCAACCACGAAGAACATGAGGTCACCCTTCCCAGACCGACCTCGACCTCATACCTCGGTCCGACCGCACACGATGCTCCTCGGCATCGTCAGCGCTTCTGACCTCTGCCTGGCCTTCTCGCGTGCGCTGACGACGGCACTGTCGGTGGCGATGGCGCAAGGGTCCGCTCTATTCGACGTTTCGCTGAGCAGCGCCCAGGCCCGCTGCCACTGCTCGACCTCCTCGCACGCTCTGATCCCAGCGCCAAGTCCGCCACCGTGCCTCTGGCACGAGGTGGAGTGCCCCAGGGCTCGTGCACCCCCGAAAGGTGGAGGGCTTGTATGGGTCCTTGAGGGCCAGGACCCCCTTGTTTCCTAGGCACTCCTGGGCGCTGCCGGGCGCTTCCTGGTTGTTCTTCCGCGTGGGCCTCCGGGACGGTCGCATTGCTCGGGGCCCCACAGCGGGCCAGGAAAGCCCCGGGAGGCCGCCCAGACGGTGGAGGAGGGCACAGGATCGCCGAGAGATCGCCCCGCGACGCCCAACATGGCCTCCAGACAGCCCAAGAGGCCTCGAAGACACCCCAAGAGGCTCCTCAGACCATTCTCGCCTTTTCGACCTCCCGACGCTCCAAGAAAGACCCAAGAGGCCCCGAGTATCCCCCCGAAGACAAGCGGAGAGGCCTCCAAGAGGGCCCCGAAACGGCCCAAGAGTTTCCAAGACGGCCAACGAGGCCTACAAAAACCGCCCCAACAGGCGGCCCAAACGGGGGACCCGAACACACATTTCGAGCCCTCGACCCCGAGGGGCCCCCAGGAGGCCCAAGAAGCCCCCCCCCAAGCTCCCTAAGAGGCCCCAAGAGCCCCCCAAGAGGTCACCAGAAGGCCCCAAGAGGCCCCCAAGGGTCGCGTCGCCGCGGGTTTCCCCTCGATCGTCTGCCGTATCGTCGCCGCCGTCGCCGTCTCGCCCGCCGCCGTCGCAGTCGTCGTTAGTTGTTGCCTGCTTTCCCCCCTCGACCTGGACCTCGTACCCCTACGTGGGCGCGCGCGAGGCCAGCCTAGAATCGCGAAGTCCGTAGCGACCCCAACGAGTTTGGAGAGAAAACGCTGTCTGGGATCAAGGCTTATGTTGTTCCCATCGTACTTAAGGACCACATCCCAGAAATAATTTCCAACACCCAGAAAAAGGATCGAAACGGTGTCGACCGAGTATCGCCTCCCAAGGCCCGGCGCGTGAACACCCTCCAGTTTCGGCACTTCCTTGGTGCTCGAAATTCTTCCAGGTGATCAAAGCTAAAGTAGGTTGGAACATCATAAATCAAGGGTCGGGCCAAACCCTGTCGACGTCGGGGACCTGCGGACCCGGGTCAATGCAAACCCGGGCCAGTCAGGCGTCGCAGGATCCTGCAGGATCCTGCAGGACCCTGCGCACCAAGCCCGGGTCAGTGCGACCCCGGCTCTGCAGGATCCTGCAAGACTTGGCGCTCGGACTGACCCCCGTTTGCACTGACCCCGGTCTCCCGAGCCCCGACGACGGCACCGTGTCGCTGAGCCGGAGCCAGAGCACCCTTCGGTTCTCACGGGCGCGTGGCGCGGATACAACCGTCGTGCTGCTGCCCTGAAGAACGTCGCAGACGAGGGCACGACGAGGCTCCCCTACCTAGATCTGGGGAACGGCCTGGAAACCAGAGGACCTCCTGAACCCAAGGGGGTCTTTGACTCAGCGCCGCGGCTGTACCGGAATACATGTGCTGCGTGCGTGCTCATCGGGCTATGCGCTACCACTCTTTCACTGAGGAGCCCATGGGTGGTTTCAGCATGGGCGTATCTTCGGCCCCAGGCCCGATTCGGATCGGCTGCGCCAGAATGCACAACAGCGCTATGCAAGCATCGGGCCACATCTGATCGGATCGAGACAAAGCGAGATCGGCATCGAAGAGAGACGGATCGAAGCAGCATGGGCCCCGTAGCCTGCAGGTCGCGGACGAGGGGCATGATCTCGTCGTTCGCCGTCAGGTTCAGCTTCAGGGCGTCGCTCAGTGTGATGAAGCACTCCGAAGCCTCGTTCGGGCAAACGCCGACATGGATCAATGATCCGTGGATCTGGTGCGTGCGCGCCAGATCCATGGATCGGGGAAGGGACCCCGGAGAAACAGCGCCAGCGCCGCCCGAGCCGCTGCCACACGGGTAAGGGCCCCATCGCTAACCCACGCGTCTTGATCCGTGTTTCGAATAATCAGGAGATGGACTGCAGACTGGACTTGCCCCGAACCTGCTGTTTGAGCATCGTTTATCCGATCCCCATCCCCAGCGGCGTGGCCTGGGCCCCACTGGCCGATTCACCCCTCTAGATGGGGATATAGGCCGTCCCCTTCGGGTTTCGAGGGGTGTACCCCCAACTGGGGTGGTCATTTATTTAGCGGGGGTCTCGAAGGGGATGAGGATGGGGATGGGGGTCGGATAAACGACATTGTCTTTTGTCGTCGGATCTGCAAGACATGCGCAGCATGCTTAGCAGATCTACGAAACGCGCCCTACGCGTTCGGCGCCGACTCGACTTGCCATTGCTCGGACGTCCATTCCCTATGCACTTCTTGGTTTCGTGCGTGTCTTTGTTTGCTCGATGCTCCAAGATGCTCCTCCAGAGTCCTCGCCGAGAAAAAAATGCACACGACCGAGCGATGCCAGGTCGAGGGAGAGAGAGATCGGTCCTGGCGATCGTGGCGGCGGCGGCGGCCGAGACAGCGGGCCGCGCAGGGCACGGGCCCGGAGCGTGGCCGCGGCAGCGCGGGGCCCCCGGAGCGCAGGCGCCCCGCCCGCGGAGGAGCCCCGTTGTGAGGGCCTCGTGGGGAGGCGCCGGACGAAGGGCGCCCCCTCCACAGGGAGCACGAGCCCCGCCGCCGAAGGAGCCCCAGGGCCTCGTGGAGAGGCCCCGGGCGAGGGGCTGCTCGCCTCGAGGCGGTGAGGGCGCGGCACGCGCGAGGGGCAGAGAGGGGCACCCCTCCAGAGCTGAGGTTGCCCTTCAGCTCCGTGCCAGCTCTCATCGGCGCTTGTCGTCGTCGTCGCCGCCGCCGCCGCCGTCGTCGTCGTCTTGTCGTCGTCGTCGTCGTCGTCGTCATCGCGGCCGCCGTCGACGACGGCTCGACGACGGTCGAGGTTTTGGACGCTCTCGGCACCCCTGGCGGCTTCCCCTTACCCTTGACGAACCAGTAGCCAGAACGAACCCCAGGCGGTGTGCTGGCAAAAGGTACATCCATATCCACTGCATCTTGGAGTTCTGGGTTCCCTTTCCAAGACACCCGCGGCGCAGTGGAGATATGGATAAAGTTCTGGCCCCCAGAAGCTGGATGCTTGTCCATGCTCATTGCGCCTCGGCCTTGCGGCGTCCCCTTCCCAGAAAAACCTAAAACCAGAGGATACGGATAGAAAGATTACGGAGAGCGCATGTTGTCATCACTTCGCGGGCGGACCCTTGCATGCACGCGTTCAACACGAGGTGGCACTCCGCGCAGCTGACACTCACTGCACACTGGGAGCTAGCACTACGCCGCCCTGCGAGCCAGCCACATCGCCGCACACACGCGACGGACGCATTCCTCAACGAACGCCCCCCCCCGTATACCCGCAGGGTCTGGAAGGGGGGAGAGGTCGACCCCGGACATCCGACGCCCTGCTCTTTTCAATGCGGGCCCCCTAGGAGGCTCGACCCTCCTCCCCCTCCTCCTCCTCCTCCTTCTCCTCCTCCTCCTCCTCCTCCTCCGTTTCCTCCTCCTCCTCCTCCTCCGTTTCCTCCTCCTCCTCCTCCTCCTCCTCCTCCTCCTTGGAGGCCTCCCCTTCATCCTCATCCCTCTCCTGGGAGGCCTCCGCGGGCCGGCTTCTCATCCTCATCCCGAGTCTTCCTTCAACAGCCATGGGGCCCGGCGAGGGCCCCCAGAGGCCGGGAACGGCGAAAAGCATCGCATGTCTGGGGCTCACCTGCCGCGATACGCAACACGGAACACGTAGCGTATTGGCGCGGAGCTCAATACGCTTCGTGCGTTTGAAAACGTACGTTTGGCGCGACACATTCGCCAAAACGTGGCCCAACACCTGCCGAGCCAACACGCAGCGCATTGACACGGTCGTTTTGATCACTGCACGTGCTGCGTTTCAAAAACGGGCATATCGAGGCAGCTTAGGTCTGGGGTGGAGCGGGCACGAACGGAGACCTCGACCACGTCTCTGCGCCTGGCTCCCTAGGCCGCGTCGGCCTGTGCGGATCCGACGCGCCGAGCGGCGCGCAAAAAAAAACCCGCCGTGATGCGCATCACGACCCGCCCCCCAGATCTTGAGGGGCCGTGCGCCTTGAAGCACGTCAGCGCCTCCTTGCCCGTGCTGGCCTCGCCGCTGGAGAAGAGCGCGGTCGCTGGGACGCCGGTGGATATCCGCTCCTGCGCGAGGGGGGGGTTCCATCCCGTGCTCGCGCGCGCCGCCAATGACGCCGACGGCGACGGCGGCGGCGGCGGAAGCGGCGACGACGGCAGCGGGGGACCAACGGTGCGATTCCGATCCGCTCCTCCGCTAGGGGGGGCAGTTCAGCCCGTGCTCGTGCGCAACGACGGCAACGAAGACGATGACGACGAGGGCAGCAACGGGAGGCCAGTGGCGGGGATCGGCTCCTCTGCTATGGGGGGCAGCCCGTGCTTGCTCGCGCGCGGCGACGACGACGACGACGATGACGACGACGACGGCGACGACGACGACGACGACCAACAGCTTCACGACGACGGCGACGGTGGCTGCAACGGGGGGCCAGTGGTGGGAATCTGTCCAGCCCGGGCTCTCGCGCGGCGATGCTGACGACGACAAGGACACCGACGACTAACACCACCATGGCAACGGCGACGGCGGCGACGGTGGCTGCAACGGGGGGCCAGTGGTGGGAATCTGTCCAGCCCGGGCTCTCGCGCGGCGATGCTGACGACGACAAGGACACCGACGACTAACACCACCATGGCGACGGCGACGGCGGCGGCGGCATCGGAAGCGGCAGCGGAGGGCCCGTGGTGGGGATCCACTCCTCCGCTGTGGGGGCACTCCAGCCCGTGCCCGCACCCGTCGACGACGACGACGGCCACGACGACCAACCACACAACCAGCTGCAAGACTGCATCAAAGGCATTACTGACGTTTACCGATTGCTGCTCCGAGGGCTGAACCAACAACAGCGCACGTGGCAGCACCAACAGCGGCACCGGCAAATTCACCCGCTCAGGCCCCGACTGCTGCACCAACAGCATCACCAACAACACCGACAACTTCACCGACTGCTGCCCTGATGGCTGCCCCGACGGCTGCACCGAAAGCAGCACTCATAGCAGCACCACCAGCAGCACTGGCACGTTCACAGATTCCCAGATGGCTGCACCAACAGGCACGCCCACTGCAGCACCGACAGCATCACCGACAAGTTCACCGACTGCTGCCCAGACGGCTGCACCCACAAGCGCGCCCACGGCTGCACAGACAGCGGCACCGACAAGTTTTCCGAATAGTACCCCGACCGCTGCCCCGACGGCTGCACCAACAGCATCAACAAAGCGGCACCGACAAATGCACCGACCGCTGCCCAGACGGCTGCACAACCAGGCCCACCCACTTCAGCACCGACAGCGTCACCGAACAATTCACCGCTACCCGACGGCTGCACGGACAGCATTACCAGGAGCGGCACCGAGGCGGCACCGCCGACGGATGCGCCGACGACTGCACTGACAGCATCACCAGCAGCGGCACCGACAAGCTCACCGAATGGTGCCCCGACTGCTGCCTCGACGGCTGCACCAACAATTTCACCAACAGCGGCACCGACAGCGTCACCGAGAAGTCTGCCGACTCTGCCCCGACGGCTGCACCAACACCATCACCAACAGCAATGCCGTCAGCGGCGCCGACCGACTGACCGACAGATGGTCCGACGGGCGCACCAACAGTGGCGCCTTCCACTGCAGCACCGACAGCATTGCAGAAAATTCATCGATTGCCGTCCCGACGGCTGCACCAGCAGCAGCGCCCACTGCAACACCGACAGCGTCACCGACAAATTCAGCGATGTGATCCCGACGGCTGCACCAACAGCAGCGCAAATTGCAGCAGCGTCAGCGTCACCGACAATCTCACCGACTGCTGCCCCGACGGCTGCACTAACAGAAGCCCCGCCCATTGTAACACCGACAACGTCACCGACCAGTTCACCGCATGTTGCCCCGACGGCTACGCCAACAGCGTCACCAGCAGAGTCACCGAGAGCAGCACCGACGAGTTTTCAAGTTGCCCCGACGGCTACACCAACAGCTGCAGCACAGACAGCGTCGCCGACAAGTTTACAGAGTGTTGTCCTGACGGCTGCACTGGCAGCATCGAAAGCGGCGCCCGCAGCAGCACCGAACAGTTCAACAGCTGCTGCCCCGACGGCTGCGCAAACAGTAGCGCCCACTGCAGTCTGACAGCGTCACCGATAAGTCCACCGACTGCTGCCCGACGGCCGTATAGACAACGTCACCAACAACGGCAACGACAGCGGCACCGACCCATCTACCGACTGTTGCCCCGACGGCTGCACCAACAGCAGCGCTTACGGCAACACTGGCACTGTCACCGATAAATTCACCTACTGCTGCCCGACGGCTGTACCGACAACATCACCAACAACGGCACAGACAGCGGAACTGACCAGTCTACCAACTGTTGCCCTGACGGCTGCACCAACAGCATTGCCAGCAACGGCACCAACAACATCACCGAGACGATCGCCGATATTGCCTCGACAGCTGCACCAACGGCATCACCAACTGCGGCACCGACCTGTTCACTGACTGCTGCACTGGCAACTGCACCAACAGAAGCGCCTACTGCAGCACAGACATCGTCACCGACAACGCCCACGGCTGCATAGACAGCGGCACCGACGAGTTTACCGAGTAGTACCCAGACGGCTCCCTCGACGGCTGCCCCAGCAACATCACCAACAGCGATACAGACAGCGGAACCGACCAGTTCACCGACTGCTGCCCCGACGGCTGCACTAGCAGCGGAGCCGACGGCAACACCGACAGGGTCACCGACAAGTTCACCGACGACTGCCCCGACGGCTGCATCAACAGTATCGACAAGAGCGGCACCGACGGTGACACTGACTAGCTCGCCGACTGCTTCCCGACGGCTGCATCAACAGCAGAGCCCACTGCAGCACCGACAGCGTCAGCGACAAGCTCACCGACGGCTGCACCGACGGCTGCACCAACAGCATCACCAACAGCGGCGCCGACAGCGGCACCGACCTACTCACCGACTGCTTTCCCGACGACAGCACCAACAGCAGCGCAAATTGCATCAGAGCTTGCGTCACAGACAATCTCACCGACTGCTGCGCCGACGGCAATTCCAACAGCATCACCAGCATCACCAGCAGCGGCACCGAGTGGCTCACCAACTGCTGCCACGCCTGCACCAACTGCAGCGCCCACTGCAGCACCGACAGTGCCAACCACAAGTTTACCGATGGTTGTCCCGACGGCTGCAACAACAGCAGCGCCCGCTACGGCAGCACAGACAGCGTCACCGACACGTTCACCGACTGCTGATGCGACGACCGCACCAGCAGCATCGCCAGCAGCGGCACGAACAGCGGCACCGACCAGGTCACCGACTGTTGTCCCGACGGCTGCACCAACAGCGGCTCCCACAGCAGCACCGACAGCGTCACCGACGACTGCACCAGCGGGACTCCAACTGCCACGCGGACGGCTCTCCCGACAGGGTCTCCGACGGCCTCGCCGACAGCGGCGCCGACGAGTGCGATAGCGGCGCCGAGAGGAGCACCGACATGCGCCCACCGAGGCGCGGGCACCGACACCAAGCGGTTCGTGTTACGTTGGTTCACGCCTGGCTTGTTTTTTGTGTTCCTTCTTCCTCCTCGCTCGGTGGTGCAACGACGGGACAGAGAGGTTAACAAAATGTCCTGTCCCCCCCCCTTGGGGCCCGTGGTATCGGCCACGCGGCCGGGATAGAGAACTGACCGACCCCTCTCGACGTTTGCTTCCTCCAGCTTTCGTCTCAACTGCTATATCATGTACTGTGTGCTCCAGGCACGGGCACGGTCACTGCGCAGTGCAGCGCATTTGCGCGATGGCGTGAGCACGTTTATTTCAAGCCGCCGTGTAAGGTGAACTCCCCTGCGTGGGTTTTACCTAGGTGCCGCAGTTTATGCGCAGATCGCTGCGCAGATCCATGTGTCTACGCGATGGTCGAAGCACGACCATCGTGCTTCGACGTACTCTGTAAGCTTTTACTCTGCACAGTGAATGGTGAAGTGATTGGGGCCGCAGGTGGTTCGCTGTTGCTGTGCTTTCGCAACAACGCCATCCGTAGACATTTTGTCTTTAAGATGTTTGTTGGAGTGTACAGCGGCGCAGGCAAGCGTGCGGCAAGGGATGCTCACCATATCCCGATTCCCCCGCCACAGCTCTGACTTTGTCACGGCGTCGCCATGCACGCATAGAAAAAAACACATGTTCGCCCTGATCCCCTGTCGCCACATTCCCGTGGTGTGAATCCGCTCCTCCGCTAGGGTGACAGTTCAGCCCGCGCTCGTGCGCGACGACGACGACGACGAGGGCAGCAACGGGAAACCAGTGGCTGGGATCCGCTCCTATGCTACGGGGGCCAGCCCGTGCTTGCTCGCGCGAGGCGGCGACGACGACGACGACGACGCCGACGCCGACGCCGACGCCGACGCCGACGCCGACGCCGACGCCGACGCCGAACGACGACGACGACGACGACGACGACGACGACGACGACGACGACGACGACGACGACGACGACGACGACGACGACGACTAACACCACCACCACGACGACGGAGACGGTGGGGTCTGCATCGCCGGCGGCGGCGGCAGCGGGGGGCCAGTGACGGGACTCCGCTGCTCCGCCAGGAGGGCCGTCCAGCTCGTGCCCGCACCCGTCGACGACGACGACGACGGCGACGAGGACCAACGCTGACACGGCGCCGGCGGCAACGGGGGGCCTCAAATTGTGGGGGGCCCGCTCCTCCGCAAGGGGGCAATCCAGCCCGTGCTCGTGCGCGAAGTGGCGCACGTCCGGGCACTTGTCCCGCAGGCCGTTCTGCAGGGTCTTGTACTGGGGCCATCGCAAGGGGGGGGGGCTGCGGCGGGGCGAGCAGGGGCGGGGGAGCATTCAACACGAGGAGAAGGAGGAGGAGGAGGAGAAGGAGGAGGCAGGAGGCTCTCCTACCCACTCCCCGATTGTTCAACTGTACGATAACGGGGTCACCATACAAGTACAGCAACCCTTAGAGTGGGAAGCTCGGTCGCTCTATGGACTCAGGTGGCGTCCGTAGGCATGGTGAGCAAACGCGGGTCCGATGCGAGCGTCAGTTCCTGGCGAAGGCTCCTCTTGACTTTTCTGCTTTCTGAACATGTAGCACGATTGCATGGGTTACGAAGATTCCGCCCTGCTGGACATGTGGTGAAACCAGCCCCGGCGACGCAATCGATCATACGGGTCATCCAATTCTCGAACTGCGCATCGTGAAGCACATGCTGGTCACAGGGCGGCCTCAAAAACGCATCGAAGGGCAAGTCCAGTCCAGCCCTGTCGGAAGTACGGCAGAAACTAGGCGCGACCCGACGGAAACAGATGTCACATCTTGGTTTGCCAAGGTGCCAAACAGCAGTGTGGGGGGCTCTCGGCTTAGGGAGGGGCTTCCGAAGCCCAACCCAAGAACGACACAACTCACCAATTTCCTCGAAACTGGGCCACTACCCAAACAACCCCGCAATCCTTGAATTAGGCCGATGTATATATTATTGAAGATGGAAACCACACGTACCACAGGGCAGTGCTTTAACCGTGCATTGCCTTGGACAAGAACTTACGCTCCTCAGGCACTGAATCCTCGTTCTGGTGGACGGTGGCTTTCCCTTCAGATGTGGACCTGCGGGTTGGCCCCGGACACGGCGGACACGTTGGCCCATTCAGCCTTGAGAAGGGTCGCGTAGTCTACATCGAGCGTGCCAGAGGAGCAAATATCTACACTGCAGTGTACAGCAATCCAAATGGCGGCATGTTCATCGGTACCGCTCCATTGCAGCATGTTGCCTGGGATCGCAGATCTGATGCCACGCAGCATGTTCCCTGGGATCGCAGATCGTATCGCGGATTGCAGTCTGCGTTCCTTTTCTACCTGTGCCACGCCAACGCCCGCTCGGGAGAAGTGGCCGAGGTGAGGCAGGAGGCAAGAACCGTCAATGAGAAGGAGGGCTGCCAACGGGGTAAGAAGAAACGGGGATCTCGGAGCCCCCTTCAACGAAGAGAACCAGTTGCCAATCCATGATGGGAAGCTCTGCCTCGGCGTCGAGCCCTGCGCACCATCCAAACGAGAAGAGGGGGGAGCTGGACAAGCGGCGGCAGCCTGGTCGATGGGCTCTGGAGAAGCCTCCTTCCCCTCCGCCTTCCCCCACACCCCCTCTTTCGGCTACACGCAAGAGTGCCCCTGGATAAAAATGACCTTTGGTGCGCGGCTTTGGGGGGCCACGAGGTGACCAAACACAGGCGCGCAAGACGGTACCATCGCATCGCGTTCGGCTAGCGCACTCTTACGTCTAGTCTTCTCGTTCCCATCCTCCTCTCTCTGTCTCTCTTTCTTCCTCGGCCCTTGAATTCTCCGAACACGGCCTCCCCTTGCAAAGCCGGCCGGCCCTTGGGAGGGCTGGAGGATCAAACGAGTGAGCCTGGCGAAGGTAATGACCAGCTGGGTTGAGATATACAAATATACATGGGCTGAGATATACAAATATACATATATATATATACATAAGTAGATACATATACGTATAAGACATGGACAAGACAGCAGACATAGGAGAATGGAAGAGAGGGAGGGATATGATGAATATGGGGAAGAGGTGAGTCCGCATCCTCCCCCTCCTTCTCCCGTTCCTCCTGCCCTTCTTCTCTTTCCCTCTCGTCGCCCACCCTCTCCCGCTCGTCGCCCTCCCTCCTGCCCAAGACGGAAAGGGGGCAAGAGGACACCGATGAGGCGGACTGGTGGAAAGACCAAAGGAAACAGGACGAGGATGGTGACGAGGGGGAGGGGGATTAGCGAGGAGGAGCAAACGGAGAAGAAGGAGAAGCAGGACGCGGAGGACGGTGAGGAGTGCCAGGGAAATACGAACTAGCGAGAGGCGAGATGATAATGAGGGGGGATATGAGGCGAAGGTGGAGGAAGAGGAGGTAAAGACGCACTGATGGGCCGAAGGTCGACAAGGGACGATGATGAGCAACTGAAGAACTAGAACGAGAATAACGAAGAGAAAAAGTACTGATGATGAGGAGGATCAGTGAGGAAGATGAATTCGGAGGACGATGAGAAGAGGATGAGCTGGTCGAGGGACTGAGGCGGAGAAGGGGGAGGAGGATATGAACGAGGAGGAGGAAGGGGGGGCAGCCCGAGGACGAACGGATGAGTTCGAGAGCACAAGGAAACGCACACAGTGGAGAACAAGGACAGGTTGGGGGCACAGGACAGGCGATGGTAACGCGAGGATGACGATATTCCCAAATACCTCTCTGAGGGCTAACAAGGTTGTAGATTAAAAGCCGGCGCCGCAAGGCTGGCGCGGGGCGCGTATCGGTTTCCATCATGGAGCGCTGAAGAAAAAACAAACTGCTGCGAGCCTGCAACGTGTCCCGGAAGGCCTGTTTTTTCTCACTGTTACCCAATATGTGTGCCGTCACACTTTCCAGAAACTCACTTCCAAAGCTTCCAGGGCTCCATCGAAGGACCTTCCAGACGCCTCTGTCGCCTTGCTATCCGGGTCTTGGACACCACAAGTCGAGGAGGAGCAGCAGAAGGAGAAGGAGGACAAGGCCACAGGGGAGGAGGGGGAGGGGCAAGATGGCAAGCTAGGTGCGCTCGCGCCAATCCGACGTCGCAACCCTCCCTCCCATCCCTTATCATAGCGTAGATGTCCGATCTATTCTCACAGTCGGGTTTCGTAGCAGAGCAAAGCATCACATGGCAAAGCATGGTGCTGAACATCAACGTTTGTCCTGACATAGCATGGTGTGAAGGATGTCTTAAACTGGGGGCGTCTGCGATCCAGAAAATCAACGAATCGACACCGAATGCGAAATCATTTCCGATAGTTGTTTCGGGGGACCATTTTCTAGATTTTGGGGCCTATTCGGAAAGACCGAAAACCATGCCGTGGCATGGCGCTCGAAATAATGACGCTAGCGCTACAGCGAGAGCGCGATTCGGAACAAGCGGGAGCGCGGAAATGAGGCCACCGCTGCAGGGGGAGCACGATTCAGAGGACGCATGGGCGTGGCGCGGCGACGCCCCAAAGTGGGGTAGGGGCTTCTCCGACCCAGAAAATCATCGCATCCCCACCGAAGGTGGAATCACTTCCCAGGGCTTCTTTCGGGGAGCATTTCCTACGGGCGCGCTGGCCCGCGTGCGCTGCGCCGACGCCACGCAGGGAATGGCAGGCCCGCGCTGCAGGCTCGGCGAACACCGCAGCGTGGAGGAGGGACTCTTACGCAGCAGCGCGGCAGAGGCGGTCCGCACGCGCGCTCAGGCAGGGCCGGGAGACAGCATGGCGCTCATTGTCCGGGCGGAGAAGGAGGAGGGCTGGGACGGCCGCGGGGTTGGGGGAAGAGGGGGAGAGCGCTCACGCGGCGGAGGCCGCTGCGGAGCGGGCAGGGCGGCCAGCCCGTGCTGCACCCCAATGGAGGAGGGAGACGAGGAGGATTAAAGGAAAAAGAAAAGGATTCGAGGAACAAAAAAGCGGCACAAGCACAAACTTTCAACGGTCCGCGCGGATGTCTTGGATCCGCGCTGGCCACTCCCTCCCTGGCGCGCGCAGCGCGCCGCGGGCTGCGCTGGAGGCGCCACCAGGGGGGCCCAGCGCCGATGCAGGAAATCCGCGCGGACCGTCGACAGCTTATGTTTATGCCGTTTTCTCCTCTTCGCAGGATGGCCACCGACTGGAGAGCGACCGCAGGGCTACGAACGCCACCAGGCTAGGAATGATCGGCGGCGGCGCATTACTGTCGATGGGGGCCGCTCACGCCACCGCCTGTTCGAAGGGACTCGGTTCCACGGGCCGGGAGACTGTTCAATCGAGCAGGCCAAAAAACCAACAAGGGCACGAGGAGGGACAGCAGCAGGCGGCGGCGACGGAGCTCTGCAGGCACACGAGTCGGACCTGTGCAAGAAAAAAAACAAACGCCAGAAATTCAGCTCAAGTGCCCAGAGTGCGCTATATTGCAATCGCACGGTGGGGGGGGCTCAGGCGCGCCAGAGCAGCAGGAGGACGGAGGAGGAAGCGGGTGGTAAGGCTTCGGAGTGCGCGCCGATGGCTCCCCCAGACAGCCCCCCCCTGACTGCTCGGCAGGCCCTTTGAGGCCAGCTGGGTCTATCGGGAGGGGGAGGGCTGTCTGTGCGCAACCCGATGCCTTACCAGGAGTGGGGAAACCAAAATAGAGGGCGAAAAATCCAGCCCATAATCACCCCGACAAGCGAAGCCGTTTAGTAAACACACCCACGGAAGGAATCGAACAGGGCAGAGCTGCTTAGCAAACGCCGAAGGCCGTTTGGGTGGCTTTTCCTCCCTTGACAGAAGGTACCGGTACCACTACTCCCCGGAACTCTCCAGGGGCGAGTGCTGACCAGGATTGCGAGGCGAATCCAGCGGTGGCGACGAGGGCCTCCCCCCAGGGCAGAGGCGGCGAAAACGAGGCCAGGGCAGCGGTATTGGGTATCTTTGTCCCCCTCTGGGGAGGAGCCTGGTTGAGCAGCTGCTGGCAGCTGCGCTGGTACTCCTCGTTGGGCGCCAGGCCCCTGACGTAAGCTTTCTCCTGAAGGGGGGCCCCTGCGCGGCCGCGGCGTCCCGCTCCCCTCCCGCCTCTGGGTGGGGAGGCGGAGGGAGGACCTCGGCGGACAGCATGGGCTACGCTGCTTCAGATGGAACCCACAGAGACATACGATATATATATATATATATATATGTATATATATGTGTGTGTTTAAACCACCAGAAGAAAACCCGATCTGTGGATTTTCAAAAATGGTCACAGGTGCATCGATCGGCCTTCCTCCCGCCCTAGCCGAATTAGAACCTACGTTTCAGTCCAGTCTAGCTATTATGTGTTATTGTTGTTTGTCCCTCTCTCTCTCGCTCGCTCTCTCTCTCTCTCTCTCTCTCTTTTGTACATATATGTTGTTGTTCAATGTCTCTCTCTCTCTCTGTCTCTCTCTCTCTCTCTCGCTCTCTCTCGCTCTCTCGTTCTCTCTCTCTCTCTCTCTCTCCCTCTCTTTCTGTCTCACTGTCTCTATGTGTATGTACACAGATATAGACATGTATGGTTGGATCCCTCTACCTTCTGGTGCACCTGCGTCTATTTACACACATACAAACGTACATACACGCACTTTCTCTGTTCCTCTCTCTCTCTCTGTCTCTCTCTCTCTCTCTCTCTATCGCTCTCTCTCTCTCTCTACTCCGCCTCTCTCATTCTTTATGTACCACAATTGCTTTGTCCTCCCTCTCTCTAATCTCTCGTGTTTTTCCCCCCCCCCCTCTCTCTTTATCTCTCCCTTCCTTCGTACAGATCGGAGGTAAAAGGGGGTGAGATCGCAAAGCAACGGGGGCCCCCCCACTGGGATATTGGTTTCGGATTCACGTCCGTGTCGCGCGTACGGGCGAGGCGAAGCTGCGTGGGCGGGCGAGAGGAATGAACTCGCCGCTGACTGGCGAAGCCGAACCAAACGTTGCTTGACCACGATGGAAGAAACCGCCTCCGCAAATCCAGGACGGGCGAAGTCCTGCATCTGTGGGGCAGCGTATCCCACTTGCGCTCATGCCCCAGTCGGCACTGCGCGCATCTCGAGCAGTTACGTGCGCCCAGCACTTCAAAACTTACCCTGGCAAAGCACCCTGACAGCAGCAAAGGCGGCATGAGAGACCTATGGGACCTGCAGGACATGTGGGGCCATCGAGGCCTGCTCAACCAGTTCGAGCTGTGAGACCTGTGGGACCTGCTGGACATGCGGGGCCTGCGAGACCTGTGGGACCTGCGGAATCTGCTTGACTTACGACACCCGCGAGCCCCGCGGGCCTGTAGGACCTCTGGGACTCGTGGGACCTCCGGGACCAACGAGCCCTGTTGGAGCTGTGGGATCGGTGGGACCTCGACTTGTGGGAGCTGCGGGGCCAAAGAGACCTGCGAGACCTGTGGGATGTGTGGGGAATCCGGGACCTGTGGGGCCTGTGGCAACTGAGAGACCTGTGAGACCGGTGGTGCCTGTGGGGCCTGTGGGACCTGTGGGACATGTGCAACCTGCAAGACTTGCGAAACCCGTGGGACTTGTGGGAGTGGTGGGGCCCGTCGGACCTGTGGGACCTGTGGGACCTGTGGGACCCGTGAGACCTGTGGGACCTGTGAGACCAGTGGGACCTGTGGGACTTGTGGGACCTGTGGGACCCGCTGGGCCTGTGGGACCTGTGGGGCCTTGGGGACGTGTAGGACATGCGGGACCTGTGGGATGTGTGGGGCCTGTGGGAATCGCGGGGCCTGCGAGACTTTTTTGTAACTGTGGAACCTGTGGGGCATGTGGGTCTTGTAAGACCTGTGGGACCTGCAGGATCAACGAGACCTGCGAGATCTGTGGGGCTTGTGGGACCTGTGGGCGTTGTAGGAGCGGTGGGACATGTGGAACCTGTGGGACCTCTAGGAGTCATATGACATGAGAGACCGATGGGGTTTGTTGGACCAATGGGACATGTAGGGCCTGCGAGAACCGCCAGACTCGCGAGGCCTGGGGTCCCTGCAAGATTTGTTGGACCTGCGGGACCTGTCGGATCTGTGGGGTATGGGGACTTGTGAGGCCCGTGGGACCTGTGGGAACTGTGACCTGCGAGACCTGCGAGACCTGAGAAACTTGTGGGACCTGTGGGACCTGTGGGACCTGCGGGGACTGTTAGCCTGCGAGATCTGCGAGACCTGTGGGACTTGTGGGAACTGTGGGACCTGTGAGACCTCTGAGATCTTTGAGTCCCGTGGGGCCTGAGACCGCCGATGACCAAAGTAAGGCCCCGAATTGTGGGACCACCGGGCACCCAAATAAGGTCCTTACTTGGGACCCCGGGAACTCCTTATCGAATTTCGTGGGTCGACAGATGCCTCGTGCTTTGGGACCATCGAGGCCCCATGGACTTATTCAGGAACCCGAAGGTTCCTCACGTCCACCATGTTTTCTTGGAGCGGGGGGGCCCAAAATTCAACGTCCCGGTGTGGCTGTCGGAATCCCTCAACTAGCCACCCCGCCTGGAAACGCGACGCAACTGTTCTGCCGAGACCTGAAGGCTCTGATGCCGTCACCGTGGTACCCTACACTGCATCCGCTAATCCGCAGGCAAGCCCAAGAAACCGCCACGGAGGTGGGCACGACCCCAGACTGCACCAGCAGACCCCGAGCTCACGACGGCCCACGATTGCCCCGAAGTGTCCACGCCAGGGTCACAGCAAAAGACGCTGTGACGCTGGCGTTTTGAATCTCACTGCTCGTTTCCAGAACCTGGCTCTTGCTGGCACTTCTTTGCGTCTTGTTGCCACACACCTTCCCAGCCTCCCAGACATCCGCCGATCTGATTTCTTCAATCCGCGGCCCCAGAGGTCCCGACCTCTTCCCTGGGGGTGGTTTTCCGTCCCGGATACATGACTGATGGCCCCCAGGCCCGGTAACGGGCCCCAGAGGCCGAAATCCAGGGAACACCGCCGGATTGACACACACATCACATCATCGGATCTCTAGGTTGAGCGTCCGAGCGGGAGGGCAAGGGGGGGGGGGGGAAAGTGAGCTAAAAATGGAGCAGGGATGGTCCGAAGGGACCGAGGAGCGAAGTGTGCAGGAGAATGCAAGAAGTGGGACGGGAGGGCGGAGGGTAAACTTTCGAAAATGGGATCGGCTACAAACTGATGTACCCCAAAGCTGATTGCTTCGCCGAGTCTGCGAAACGCAAATAGCATGCCCAGTGGACCTACGAAGCAGTCTACGCATTCATTTGTAGATTCGGCGGAAAAATATCAAGTCTGGGGAAAATCAAAGGAGGAGGAGGAGGAGGAGGAGGAGGAGTGGAAGTGGGATCAGAGGGGAGGAGAGAAGAGGATAGAAAAGGGGATGGCTTAGGAGACGGGGGCTAAGACGAAGCCAGGATGTGTTCAACACCGAGATGAGACGAACTATAATACCTCAAGCCCAGCGGGCCTGGAGGGTGTGTCGGGTGCCATGGCCGTTCCAAAGCGGCTGGGGGCGCTCTGAAAAAAAGCAAAAGCATTCTCGGCTGATGTACGGCCGAGAACTTTCCCGTAGCGTGTCGCCGCGGAGGCCCCGGCGACACGCTATGCCCTGCGAGCGGGTAGCATGTCGCTCCGCCCAGCGGAGCTGGAGGCTCGGAAAGGCCCAAACTCCCCGACCTTGCCCCTGTGGCCGGCCTTCCCTGAGAGAAGGGAAGGGAGAGGGGAGGGAGCTGCCCACAGAGGCTCCCAGAGGCCTCCACGAGGTCTGGAGCGGAGGAGGATCAGACTCGATCGGACCTGTGGAGCTCACGCGTCGCCGCATCGAGCAGCAGCTCAGCTAGGACTTGGCGGCGAGCGCGGGGGGGGAAGTGGAGAAGGGGCGGGCCTTCCCAGGAGGACAGGACGCCCCCTGGCCCCCTGGGAGAGGTCCGTAGGCCTTCCGCGAAGACACGAAGAACCTCTCAGAAGGCGGCGGGACTTCTCAGAAGGCGCGAGGGCGTCTGAGAAGTCCGTCCCGCCGCCTTCTGAGAAGGCCTTCTCCTTCTCACTCCCCCCCCCCTCGCGCGCTGCCGACGGGCCTCGGAGTGGCAATACACCGGAGGGCCGCCGGCCCTGCAGTGCGGCCCCCGTTGCCCCCCCCCCCCCCCCCTCTGTGAGGCACTTTTGAGGCGGAGGGGCGCCGCCGAGGGGGCTGGAGGAGGAGATGGGGCGGGAGATCATGTCGGCAGGGCCTGCGGGGGTGACCGAGAGGGGGGACGATTCGAGTAGGAGATCCACTGCAGCATTGATCTGCCCCCAGCTTGCCTCCGCGTGGGAGCAACGCGCCACTACGTGTAGCGTTAGTAGATATCCGAACGGTCGACGTGCTGTCGACGAGCAGCCGACTCCGACTCGGACGATGAGACTGTCCATTGGGCTATCAATAGGTTGGGACTGCCCCGCGGAAATAATCCATAAAAGTGTCCCCAACCCTTTGGAAGCGGACCCGGGATCACAGGCCCAACACATTAGGGCCAGGTCTGTCCTGCAGATTGTTCAAACCTATCATATCAATAAGCTGGGAAAGCCCCGCGAAAATAATCAATAAAAGTGCCCCCCAACCCTTTGGAATCGGACCCGGGATCACAGGCCCAACGCATCAGGGTTAGGTTTACCCTGCGTGTTTATCAAACCTGTCAATCGGCTGTGAAAGCCCCACGGAGATAAACAACAAGAGTGCCCCTAAGCCTTTGGGGGCGAGCCCAGGTGAAGTGTTCCCAAAACATTCGGCATAAGCTTCCTTTGGTCTGCAGATGCAGCAAACCAAACCACACAGAGCGATGATCCCTAATGCAATCACGGTGACCTCTCAGTTGGGCTACGCCTTCATTGTGTTATTAGTGCCACTCGGGGCTGGTGTCAGGTCGGGCATGCCCTCCCTACAGGCGGATAACGGGCGAAGCAGGAAACGCAGTCAAATCAACATAGTCAGACACAGACAAACATAAAAGAAACAGCGTCCCCAGACTGTGGTTCAAACTATGTTTGAATATGCCTCCTGTACGCTTAGATCGGACATGTCCTTCTACAGAAGTGAGCTTGAACGAAACACAACAACTAGCCAAAACATATCCCAAACAAGTCAAACAAATACTTGATAAGTCGTACCCAGATCATTGTCTAACTATTTTTGCATACACGTCGTACATTTGCAATCGTGCTCATGTCTAATAGTGCTCGTTTCTAACTGTTCCTGGCCCCCTAAGGGCCAAGAAGAGGCCCAGGATTGAACCGTTAGACCTGAGAGGATCCTGGCCCCCCCCCAAATCAAAGAACTTTCGAAAAATTAGAGACAAACATTGTGTACAGTCGGACTTGATTGAACAGGATACGCGACAGGACACAATACCCTCCCGAGGGCCACATTGTCTTATGAATGTGGGGGCCATGGATCACGAGACGCAGGACACAAGGGGTATCCTTGATTGGGCAGGGTCGACCTACTAACCTGGGCCGACTGTACCCCCCCTTTCGGGCCGACACGCCCGACTTAAGGCCGATGGCTTTTTTCTTGGGGGGGGGGGGGGGGCAGGGCACCGGCCCCTGGCGGCCGACGGGGACACTGTCCGAGCATCGCCCCAGAACCAAACGCTCTCGGCGCGGCGCCGCTGCTGGAACGCACAGCCTCCTCCTCCTCCTCCGCCTCTTCCTTCGCCTCCTCCTCCGCCTCCTCCTCCTCCTCTTCCTCCTCCTCATTATCTTCCTCCTCCTCCTCCGCCTTTTCCTCCTATTCCTCCTCCGCCTCCCCCTCCTCCTCCTCATCATTGTCCTCCTCCTCATTATCCTCATTATTCTCATTATCCTCCTCCTCATTATCCTCATTATTCTCATTATCCTCCTCCTCCTCCTCCTCCTCCTCCTCCTCCTCCTCCTCTGCCTCCTCCTCCCTCCTCCTCCTCCTCCTCCTCCTCCTCCACGGGGGCCCCCCGACGGGAATTAACGCCCTCGGCGCGGCGCCGCTGCTGGAACGCACGGCCCCAGACCAGAACGCCGCCGAGAACTCCACGAAGAAAAACGCCCCAACGACAAGCCCCGAGCCTCGAAGCCTCGAGGCTCGGGGCCGTGACCCCGAACCAAAAAATCTCCGAAAAGGTCTCGGGCCCTCGGGCCCCGAGGCCCTCGGGTCCTGGAACCCTCGAGGCTCGGTGCCGCGACTCGGGGCCGTGACGCCCGAAAACCTGGAGACCTCGAGACCCGCGACACCTCGCCGATAGATCGGCGAAAGACACCCGATAGCGAATCCGCGACGAGCTCAACCACGGCGTGTTCGACCACGGGCTTCACTTTGAGGGGCAAATATAGGGGGGGACTGGCATAGGGGGGGATGCATCGACCCGGAATCGGCGATGCATCGCCGACATATCGGCGACAGGCCTCTGATGGGGAGTCCGCAGCGTCCAGTGCAGGTGGGGGCTATCTGGCCCCCGTCGGCGATCCATGGGCGACTGGGGGTCGATGCATCCCCCCCCATGGGCCGATCCCCCCCGAGAACTCCACGAAAGCGCCCGAAGGCCTCGGACCTCGAGCCCTCGGGGCTCGGGGCCGCGGGCCCCGAACAACACCCGCGGACCTCGGACCCTCGGCCCCCTCGAGACTCGGGGCTGGCTGACTCGGATCCTCGAGACCTCGAGACCCTCGAGACCTCGAAGCCCTCGAAACCCTCGAGACCTCGGAACCCTCGAGACCTCGAAACCCTCGAGACCTCGAAGCATTCGGATCCTCGAGACCTCGAGACGCTCGAGACCTCGAAGCCCTCGGATCCTCGAGACCTCGAGACGCTCGAGACCTCGAAACCCTCGTAACCTCGAGACCTCGAAGCCCTCGAGACCTCGAGACCTCGAAACCCTCGAGACCTCGAAGCCCTCGGAACCTCGAGACCTTCTCGCTGACTCGGGGCTGTGACCGCCCCGCGTCGAGCGCCGCCACCCCGCAGAAGGCCTGAGGGCCAGCGCGGCGGGGCGGGCAGCAGGCTCGCGCCCACCCGGGCTGCGCCTGCGTGCGCGCTCGTGCCGGGGAGCTCCTGGCCCGCGCCAATCCAGGCCCGGGTCAGTCGGGCCTTGCAGACTCCTGCAGGATTGACGAACGAGCAACAAGCACCCATACCCATAGGGGGGACGGAGTGAGCTATGGGTGCGTGCTGTCGGATGGGGGTCCCCGCTCGAACGGGAGCCCCCCTAGGGGTCCGACAACCCGCACCCATACCCACAGCCAGTCATTCTCCTTCCGACCTCCCTATGGGTCTGGGTGTGTGTTGTTCGTTCGTCAAGGATCCTGCACGATACTGCAGGATCGTGCACCCCAGCCCGGGTCAGTGCGACCCTGGCCCTGCAGGATCCTGGAAGATGCGGCGCTCTGGCTAACCCCCTGTGCGCGTCCGTGGGCCGCCTGGCTTATGTTGCTCCCATCGCACTGAAGGACCACATCCCACAAACAATCTCGGGCACCAAGAAAAGTATCGAACGAGGGTCGAACGAGTATCGCATCCCAGGGCCCGACGCGTGAAAACCCTCCAGACTCTGTGCTTCCCTGGTGCTCGAGATTCTCTGGTGACCAATTGGAGCATCATGACGCCCGGCCCTCCGGGTGACCCCAGATGGCCAGGGCGGGCCAGGTAGTCGCGCCCAGGGAAGGAGCCCACGGGGGATGACGCGTCGAGCCCAATGCGGCGATCCTCGAGATCCTGGCGACCCGAGATTTCCGAGCCGGGCGCTCTCGCCGTGCTTCTCTGGCCAGGGGTCCCCCACAGATCGATCCAGCCAGGGGTCTAGGGTTTATACATTTTGCATCGCCAGATCTCAAAGATACACCGTCGATTGATGGGCGATAGGCACTCGATGGCGGAACGGTAATCCAATGTGCGAGGAATGGGCGTCCTGGGTTCGATGCGTTCCTCCTGGGCCGAACCCCCCTCTGTCGTTACCCCTTGGCAATTGGGCTCCAGGTGCTCGATGGCGCGAACAATGGAGTAGATCTCGGCCTGCATGCCGGCCTCCCGCCTCTCCTACGGGATGCAACACAAGACGTAGCCAGGACGAGGACAACCTCGGACGATGACACATTACGAATCTTTGACAACCCTCGGCTCTGGCATCGGCGATCGGGCGCCGCGGCCGTTCCGGAGCGCTCTGAGGCGCCCTCACTGAAGGCGCCCAGGGACACGCTCATAAATCACAGATCCCAGGCTTCCCCATGTTCCTTCATATTTCCACGAGGTTCGGCTTCCCCTCCACTTTCCACATGTTCGATATTTCCCAAGGGATCGTCGGTTGTGTGTGTGTGTGTCTGTGTGTGTGCGTGTGTGTGAATGTGTCTGTGTGTGTGTCGTGTGTGTGCGTGTGTGTGAATGTGTCTGTGTGTGTTTGTGTGTGTGTGTGCGTGTGTGTGTGTGTGTGTGTCTGTGTGTGTGAATGTGTCTGTGTGTGTGTGTGTGTCTGTGTGTGCTTCCGCCCCGCTGCGCTGCCCGTCTCCAGCTCGCGCTGGACCCGCCACCCCCCCCCGCCTGGCTCGGCCGCCTCCTGGCTGCCGCCCCCCCCCCCCGCTGCCTCGCGGCCGCTGCTCCCGCCCCGCCCCGGCGCCCCCCTCGCTGCGGCCTGGCCCTGCTCTGAGCGGGCCCCGGCTTCTCCTCCCTCCCGCCCGCGCCGGGCCTCCCCCTCCTCCCCACGCGCATGGCGGCCCGATTCGCATCACGTATGCCCTACATACATGTTCATCCCGCCAGCGCAGTCCCTCTGCCCAGCCGCCGAGGCAGAGAGTCTGTGTGTGCGCTCCCCTCCTGGGATCTGCCTTTGCCCTGGGCCCTCCCGCCCGGCAGCATCACTGCGCCGGGAGGCGGGGAGGGCCCCAGCCCTCCCGCGGCCTGCAGCCGCATCGCGCGGGAGGCCCCCCAGACACATTCGACATCTTGATTGCTTCAGTTCGGCTAGTGAGCGTTTTCTTATTCGGCGTTTCGACATTGGGCGAAAGGGGGGGGGTCTGGCTCCAGACCTCTGCTCAGTGCGACTGTTTGGAACCGTGCGTCCCCTGATGGGTGAGACTTCACCTGCATGAAGCAGGCGCCGAAAACAGCCAAGATCTACCCCATGGTGGGGGGGGAAGGGGTGTGCGAGGGACCGCGCCGATCGGTGAAACAATGGTAAAACAAGTATCAATTGCTTCAGTTCGGCTACACACAAGAGTCACCCTGGGCAAGAGTGACCTTTGGTGCGCGGCCTTAGGGGGCGCAAGGTGACCAAGTCAGAGCGCGAGAGCAGCCGCTATCGCTTCGCGTTCAAGGATCGGCGGGATCCCGTTGAGCCCGCACCAAAGGCCACGCCAGCAAAGGATCACTCTTAGGCGTATTCGATTCAGCACGGGGTCCCCGGACGTCCCGACCATCCGCCGGGCAGCACGGCCTGTCCGGGACCAGCGTCGCGGCGCGTAGGGCTCTGTCGGCGCACTACACAGACGATCCCGCCAGGGGGCGTCGGCCCCAAGGGCGGACGTTCTTCCCATGCCCGCCCGCTCGGGGCGCGTCCCGACGAGGGCCCCTGGAGACCCCCCCCAAAAAACATCCCGTCGTGGTTTCGTTCACGTCGCCGCCGCCGTGGCCGTCGCCATCGCCGTCGCCGTCGTCATCGCCGTCGCCGTCGTCGCCGTCGTCGTCGTCGCCGTCGCCGTCGTCGTCGTCGTCGTCGCCGTCGTCGTCGTCGTCGTCGTCGTCGTCGTCGCCGTCGTCGTCGCCGTCGCCGTCGTCGTCGTCGTCGTCGTCGTCGTCGGAGTGCTCGGGGGACTGTCAGTGCGGGCCCGCCCCTGGGGAAAGGGGGGTCCCAGGGGGAGGAGGAGGAGGAGGAGGACGAGGAGGAGGAGAGGAGGAGGAGGAGGAGGAGGAGGAGGAGAGAGGAGGGAGGGGGAGGAGGAGGAGGAGGGGAGGAGGAGGAGGAGGAGGAGGAGGAGGAGGAGGAGGGGCTCTGGCAAGCCGCAGAGCCCGAGAGTCGTCGGAGGCCTGGGCCTGGAGAGGCCCCAGTAAGAGTCGACCGCGGTGCCAAAACCCAGATCGGCGGCGGGCCCCGGGGGGGGGGCGCGATGGGCCAGGGCCAGAAGACTCGCCATCGCTCGGACGTCCATTCCGTGTTTTTTTTACGGTTTCGTGCGTGGCTTTTTCGCCAAAAGATCAAGGATGCTCCTCGATGGTCCTCCCCGGAGGAAAAATGCACACGTCCGAGCGATGCCGAGAAGAGGGGAGGTGGGGAAGGAGAGGAGAGGACGGAAAGGGGGGATGGCAGAGGAGAGGGGACGTGAGAGGAAGCCAGGATGTGTTTCTCCACGTCGAGATGAGATGAGCAAGAGCCCCATCAAGCCCAGCGGGCCTGGAGGGCGTGTCGGGTGCCGCGGCCGTTCCTGAGGGGCTGGGGGCCCTCTGAAAGAGTGTTCGAAGCATTCTCGGCTGATTTACGGTCGAGAGCTTTCGCATAGCGTGTCGCCGCGGAGGCCCTGGCGACACGCGATGCCCTGCGAGCGGGAAGCGTGTCGCTCCGCTCCGCGGGGCGGGAGGCTCGGAAAGGCTCGGGACGTTGACGCCGCGGGACTGCAAGGTTGATGGAGTGTCGCGCCGAGGCGCGATGGGCCAGAAGCGGCGGAGCAGCACGCTATCCCAAAGTCCACGACCTTGTCCGTGTGGTCGCCCTTCCCTTAGAGAAGGGAAGGGGAGAGGGGAGGGAGCTGCCCCCAAAGGCCTCCAGAGGCCTCCAAGGAGGTCGGGAGAGGATGAGGGCCGGACTCGATCGGACCTGTGGAGCTCACGCGCCGCTGCATCGAGCAGTTATGCTGGGACTTGGCGGCGAGCGCCGGAAGGAAGTGAGGAGGGGCGCGCCCTCTCGGAAGGCGCGCTCTGGGCGCCGGGGGGGGGAGATCCGGCGCGGAGCCGAGAACTCCGCGCGGACCTCTGAGTTCTTATGCTTATGTCATTTGTCGTTCCCCTGGCGAGGGAGCTGACACAGTGCCCACGGATGAAACATGTGAGTATGTATGTTTTTTTTTCCGAGACGCGCGCACGACTGACAGCGGGTGCTGCGTGGACGCGATTATGCTACTGCCGAAAGGCTGCGGAGTTTGCTGCTTAGCAGAAACATGTGAGTATGTATGTGCTCTCAGTGCCGCGTGCGTGCTTAGCCGTGGCCTCCAACCGAAGATCCTCGAATGAGAACCTGTTGTAGCATCCGCTGCCTCAGAGATCTGGTGTTGAAGAGTTTCAAGCTGTGCAGCTGGCACCGATGCGGGGGGAGGCGGCAACACATAGCATCGCTCGCCTCTGAAATGCCTTCTCGTGTCGACAGCTTCTCGCTGCATACCCAAGAAGGTAAAACCTGAAATATTGGCCTGGCGATGCCGCGAAAGCCATCGTCACACATGTCCTCCTCTTCATATCAGTGAGAGCGTGCGGGTGGGCATGGGTGCGTGTGTGCAAGCACGTGGTCGCGAGTGTGAGTGCGTGCGTGCGTGCGTGCGTGCGTGCGTGAACGCGTGCGTGCGTGCGTGCGTGCGTGCGTGCGTGCGTGAACGCGTGCGTGCGTGCGTGCGTGCGTGCGTGCGTGCGTGCGTGCGTGCGTGCGTGCGTGCGTCCGCGTGTGTGTGTGCGTGTGCGTGTGCGTGTGCGTGTGCGTGTGCGTGTGCGTGTGCGTGTGCGTGTGCGTGTGCGTGTGCGTGTGCGTGTGCGTGTGCGTGTGCGTGTGCGTGTGCGTGTGCGTGTGCGTGTGCGTGTGCGTGTGCGTGTGCGTGTGCGTGTGCGTGTGCGTGTGCGTGTGCGTGTGCGTGCGTGTGCGTGCGTGCGCGTGCGTGCGCGTGCGTGTGCGTGTGTGTGTGTGTGTGTGTGTGTGTGTTGTGTGTGTGTGTGTGTGTGTGTGTGTGTGTGTGTGTGTGTGTGTGTGTGTGTGTGTGTGTGTGTGTGTGTGTGTGTGGGGGGGGGGGGGCGTGTGCGTGTGCGTGTGTGTGTGCGCGCGTGCGTGCGGGTGTTTGTGTGTGTGCGTGTGTGGGTGTGGGTCAAGCTAGCCAGCTCGAGCGAGCCAAGCATGGCATGCCCATTCCCACCCGCCCTCCCACAACATAAGAAACAGTGATGGCACAACGGACAGGCTGCTGTCTTCCCCCTCGCCGCACCCCTAAGCCCCCCAACTCCGTTCCGAAGGAAGCCTTCGGACTCCTCCCGGGTCCAAACGCACAACTTTTTCGAGTCGCGTCCAACCGTGACTTAGAGGAGGACACCGAGGGCCAGAAAGCCTCGAACACCGATTCTCGAGGCAACGGACAGGCTGCTGTCTTCCCCCTCGCCGTACCCCCAAACCCAGATCCGGTCCGAAAGAAGCCTTCGGACCCCTCCCGGGTCCAAACGCACAACTTTTTCGAGTCGCGTCCAGCCGTGACTTAGAAGAGGACCCCGAACGCCAGAAAGACTCGAACACCGACGCTCGAGGCGCAAAGTTCGAGCACCTCACTGAAACACTCCCCCTCGGCGCGCCGCCGACCATGACCTGTGGGCGGCGCCGGCGCCGTGCCGCCGCGACGGGCCCTCCCGGTTCGGGCTCCGAGGCTCCTCGAGAGCTCTCGCGGCTCTTGGGCCCACATCCCCGACGATAAGATTTTCTCTGTGCTGGCGTTTTCCCGTCGACTTCGCACGTTTTTCTTTCGATTTCGCCCTCCAGGGAACGGTTTGGCCCGCTGGACCAAAAAGAAAAGATCCAGGACGCAAAACTGCTCCCGAGAAAGGGGTCGAGATCTCAGAAGAACTTGGGACAAATTCGCCGGCCCAACGGGCCAGAGGCGTGCTAAGATTTCCGGTAACTAGTTATCAATATTCTAGTTCGCGCGCGCGGGGCGACCCCTGGGGGCCCCCGGACGAAAAGTACCCCGAGCAGGTCCTGGGCCAGCCCAACGGGCCAGAGGCGTGCTAAGATCTCCGGTAACTAGTTAACAATATTCTAGTTTGCGCGCGCGGGGCGGCCCCTGGGGGCCCCCGGACGAAAAGAACCCCGAGCTGGTCCTGGGCACGTCGGTCCCAACGATGGTTGTCTTCTTCGGCGCTGACTTCCAGGTCCCAGAGCGCCCCAGGAACGCCCCAAGAGAGCCGAGACGCCCCCGAGACGATCCGAGGGGCCCTGAGTCGCCGAAAGATCGTTCCAAGACGCCCAAGATGGCCTCCAGACGGTCGAAGACGCCGCCAAGAAACCGCGGGGAGCCTCAGGAGGCCCTCCAAGAGCCTGAACAAGCAAAAACCTCCCAGGCATTCGTCACCCCAGGGCCTCCTGGGACGCCCCGGCGCCCAATGAATTGGCGAGCTAAAAACATGCGCCGAGCCAAAGCGGGAGCGCAACTTTGAGAAAATTTCGCTCGGCCCCAAGCGGGAAGGTCATTTCATTCACTTCGAGCGGGGGGGGGGTTCTTGCCATGCACTTTTGCGGGGTGAACGACAAGAACAGCTATGTGGGCAGGGAAAATCAGCATGACATTGCTTCTGTCAAGGAAGGTGGCCCCTCCCGCCTTGGGGCTGCCCCAGAAGTCCGCACGCGATGTGCGCCGCGCCCCATTCCTGCGACGCATTTCGAATCGTCGGCGACAAGACAGGCCATGATGAAAGGAAAAACGGCAACTCTATATTGTTTTATACAGTCAGGATGGGAGGGCCCGCAGCCCGCATGGACGTCCGCGCGCGATGTGCGCCGCGTCCCACTCCTGCCACATATTTCGCACCGTCGGCGACAAGGCAAGCCATGCTGAGAGGAAAAAACGGAGACTTTGTATTGATTTGTTACAGTCAGGCTGGGCGGACCCGGATTGATGGCCGCGCGCGATGTGCGCCGCGTCCCATATGTGCGCCGCGTCCCACTGCTGCCACATATTTCGCACCGTCGGCGGCAAGGCAGGCCATGCTGAGAGGGAAATGCGAAGACTTAGTATTGTTTTTTTACAATCAGGATGGGCGGGCCCAGATTGACTGCCGCGCGCGATGTGCGCCGCGTCCCATTCCTGCCACGCTTTTCGCATCGTCGACGAGGAGAAAAATGTTGAGAAGAAACACGGCCACTTTGTACTGATTTTTTACAGTCCGGATGGGAGGTCCCGGATCGGGGTGCTATCGGCCGGAATACGAGGTAGGTGGGGGTATATAATAATAAGGAACAAGGATGTGGGTGCTGGTGTGAGTGTGGGTGTGGGCGTGAGTGTGGGTGTGGGTCTGGGTGCGGGTGTGGGTGTGGGTGTGGGTATGGGTGTGTGTGTGTGTGAGTGTGTGAGTGTGCGTGTGGGTGAGTGTGTGTGTGTATGTGTGTGTATGTGTGTGTGTGTGTGCGTGTGTGTGTGTGTGTGTGTGTGTGCGTGTGTGCGGGTGCGTGCGTGCGTGCGTGCGTGCGCGCGTGCACAGTGCTGGATCCGTCGCGGGGGCTTTTCGATCCATGACATTGAGGAGGACATGTTTGTTTTCTGACCTTTGCCAGGAGGAGGAGGAGGAGGAAGAGGAAGAGGAAGAGGAGGAGGAGGAGGAGGAGGAGGGGACGCGCTCGGTGAACCAAAACCCAACCCTTGCCAGAACCCGCGCAAGTCGTGACTCTGGGAGCAAGGCGAGTGGGTCTGGCTCTCCAGGACCCCCTGCCTTGCTCCGCGCCGCTCTGCTCACCTCCGTCTCCATCCCCCTTGCTCCTCGTCCTCGTCGTCCTCCTCTGGCCTTCCCTGTCCTCTCCCCTCCCTCCTTATCCTCCTCCTCCTACTCCTTCCCCCCCTTCCTCCCCCCGGTCTCATCCCTTCGTCGTCCTCGTTCTCCTCCTCCTCCTCCTCCTCCTCCTACCTCGCCCATTCCGTCTACTGTTTTTCTACGCCAGGCCAGCTTCAGCTGCTGGAATGTAGCGCGCCTCAGGCGTGAAAACCAAATGCCGACTTGGGCGAAGGGAGTCTTACAGGTGAGGCTGCTGACTGGTGCAGAAGGTGGTGCCATGAGGAATTCATGTAATGGTACAAGTAAGCATGAAAACATACGGAAATAATGAATTGGAGTAGCGAAGCAATGGTGTAAATAGTGCATTGGAATAATGCACAAGGTATATTCAAATCAAATAATGCACTGGAGCAACGAAAAATGGTATACACATGAGCATAAACCTTCGGCGCTCCGCGCGGATTCCTTGGATCTGCGCCGGACCACCCTCCCTGGCGCGCGGGGGGGGCACGGGGGGCGGCGCCCGACGCGCCGCGGGGGGGAGGGCCCGGCACGGATCCCAAGGCACCCGCGCGGAGCGCCCAGAAGTTTACGGTTGTGCCGTTGCTTCTCTCTCGACTAGACTTATGTCGGGCGTGTCCCCCTACAGGGGGGATCTTCGACGACAAATGAAGAAAAACAAAAAAACAATTATACATGCCCCAAGAAGGTTTACAAATACTGAAAAATAATCCCCAGACTGTGGTTGGATTATGTGTTTGATTATTTGGGGGGTACTTTTTATTTTCCGTCGAAAATCTCCCTGTCGGGGGACAGGCCCGACTTAAGACTAGATCGTGGCCACACCTCCTTCACTTTAGCGGGCGAAAAACGGTAGAAAGCAAGCTTTTCCGTCGCCAGTGGCGCTGCCCGAGGGCCGCTGGAAAGTCCATACCTTGACGTGCCACCGTGAGGGTACAATTTTTTATAGCCTCCCTGGGGTAGGCGCCCCCGACAGCGAACAAACCGTATGTTCTACCGTTCTTCGCCCGTTGCTCATTTTCGGCTCTTCGAGGCATCCCGCCTGCTCCGCGGGTCTCCTGCGGGGTCAGCGCCGCCGACGGGCGCGCGGTGGCCGCCGGGGCGGCGGCGGCGCGCGAGGCCACGGCGCCCGACGGGGCGGCTGCCGCCGTGGCGGCTGCTGGGGTCGTCGATGCTCGAGGAACAAACAGTGGTGCCTCCTTCTCCTCCTCCTCCTCCTCCTCCTCCTCCTCCTCCTCCTCCTCGGTTACTCGGTTACTCGGTGGGTGGTGTACCGTACAAGCACAGTACACTCACAAAGGAATAAAAATTACGCAGGTCTCCTCACCTCCCTGAGTTCACGGCCTCGGGGTGGGAGAGCTACGGAATTAGTAATGGACAGGTCGGTTCCTGGCAGGATCCTCCGTTTGAGTTTCCTACTCTCGGACGAAGCCTTCCCGTCGCATGGCCCACGTAGCTTGGGGCCCGCCTTGCACGTGGTGAATGCACCACACCTTAAGCAGTGCACTACGGGCAGCCCAGAGCTCTCGACCCAAGCCACGTGGAGGTTGTGGTGATTTCTCGGACCGTTCAGAAAGGCAGCAAAAGACGGGTTCAGACCATTGCAATCCCGACTTAAGACTACCTTGCGGCCCAAATATCTAAAGCAGAGGTTACATCTCCTCTTCCCTTCATGGAACACTGGCTCATGGGGGGTGTGTGGCTTGGGAGTGGCCTTGGGACCCAACCGCGTCCTCCCCAGCTCACCCAGCTCCCCGAAGGTAGGCCACTCCGCAAGCACTTTACCCATTCCGTGAATTAGGGTAGTGTACAGTTTGGGAATGGCCGTGCACTCGTCTAAAACGCTATTGCTGAACGCATGTGCGCGGGCTGCGAGCCCTGCATGATGGTCAGCGAGCTTGTTCCCTCGCACGAAAAAGACTTGGTCGCTGGCAACATCCTCCTCAGTTCTGTGGGCCTTGACCTTGGTTAGGCGGGGCGGGTCCCCAGGGAGCCAACGAGCCACTTCCCGCCAAACGTGGGCCATCGGGTTGGCCCCTGACAGAGCCCAGTGGTGGGCCCTCACAGCTTTGAGGAGAGTCGCATAGTCTACAAAAATCTCACCCGACTGGCACTGATCAGCCGAGTATGTGGTGGCAAGCATGATGGCACAGTGCTCTGCAGACCCGCTGGTCTGCTCCATCGTACCTGGGACAGGGGACCTTATGCCTCTGACCAGTTCGCCGTCTTCGTTCACTTGTATGACTGCACACCCGGCTCTGGAACAGGGCTTGAGCTGGGGAAACAAGCAAGAACCATCGGTAAACAACTGAGCCCCTGGTGGGAATTCAAACGGCAGAATCTCCTCACCTCCAGGGCCAAAAAATTTTAAATCTTGAACCCAGTCCTGGGCAGGGGGCTCCGTGGAAAGGTCGGGCCTGGCAACCCAGGCACGGCTAAAAAGGAGAGACCCTGGGCCAGCTTCCAGGGCTTGTTGAATTAGGGCCTCGGGGAAAACCTCGTTTCGGACAGCTGACGCACGCGGGCACGGGCAGGACCAAACGCGGTGCCACGCAGAGTCGAGCATGCCACATCTGTTACACACTGAGTTATATTTGAAACCCCACCTCGCGAGGGCCTCGCCCGTTGGGAGGGTTCCACAAAAAAGCTGCTTCACTCTAAGCTTTTCTACGAGCGTGAGCCCAAGCTTGGTGGAGTTCATCTTCTGCTTGATGAGTTCCCACCACAGTCCTCGGGTCTCAAGGTCCTGTGTGTCACAATCGTTCTTCTCACAGACTCCCCGAACATATCTCTGGATATAACTGTCTTTCAGCTGGACGGCAAACCTTTTCGACACCAGCGCAGGGCTGACCTCGGTGAAGTTTAGGGTGTCCCCGACGGCGTCCTGGAAAACCCCTGGGCTCTGCTCCTCCTGCTCCTGCTCCTCCTCTACCTCCTCCTCCTCCTCCTCCTCCTCCTCCTCCTCCTCCTCCTCCTCCTCCTATTCCTCCTCCTTCTCCTCCTCCTCGTGGATGAGGAACCCTTGGATGATAGAGGAACAAATGCCGCGATAAACATCAACTTTCGGCGCTCCACGCGGGTTCGTTGGATCCGCGCTGGGCCCACCCAGCGGCGCCTCCGGCGCAAATCCGCGCGGAGCGGCGAAAATTTATGTTCTGCAATTTTCTTCGTCTAGATAAGGAGTTCATATTATGGAAGCCCCAGGACCTCCAATCGTGGATCGGCCATGGATGTCACCGTCGCCCGCATCCGAGAAGGAGCGGTCCAGGGTCTGAAGACTCGTGAGCACATTCCTTGACCAACGGCCCCGTCTTGCAACCGATGTTCAAAGCTCCGCGCGGATTTCTGGGATCGGCGCTGAAATCCCCTGGCGCCTCCGGCGCCGCCCCTGGCACGCTCCGCGCGCCAGGGACGGGGGTCCGGCGCCGACCGAAGAAATCCGCACGGAGCTCCGACAGCTTATGCTACATAAAAGGTTTGTTCCTCGAGATGTCGCCGTCGACGCCGGCGGGGCAGCTGCGAGCGCCTGGGCGCCCGCAATCTTTTTCTCCTCGGCGCTGCAGTGCGGCCATCACGGGTCGACGAGGCCCGAAGATGGAGGCATCAGGACGGGGTCCGAAGCTCCAATTGCAATTGTTCGCGATGCTGCATGTTGTTCGCGACGGCGTCGGAACTAAATTGGCGTCGAATTGGGGAAGCCGGATCGAATCGGAATGTGCGTCGGATCGGGCTGCACCGCCACAACAGTTAGGTCGCGCATGTCCCCCTACATGGGGGCTTTGGAGCAAAATGACAAAATAGTCCAACAAAAAGTCGCAAACATTTAAAAATAGTCGAAACATCGTCCCAAGACTTTCGTGTACAACTAGAGGGACACGCCCGACTTACGAAGACAACAGCGCCATACAAGCATCAAGGCGCATCAGATCAACGGCGAATCCGCATCAGATCGGCGCTGGCCGGCCAGAACCAGCATGGAATCGGAGTCGAGCGGATCGAAATAGGGGAACGAAGGATGACAAGAGCGTAAAAACTCGGAGGCCCGCGCGGATTTCTCGGATCGGCGCTGGCCATGGCGCGCGGAGCGCGCCAGGGGCGGCGCCGGAGGCGCCGCCAGGGGACCCCAGCGCCGATCCGAGAAGTCCGCGTGGCCCTCGCGAGCGTTCTCTTATTCGGCGTTTCCGGGGGGGAGGGGGGGGTCTGGCTCTGGACCTCTGCTTAATGCGACTGTTTGCAACAGTGCGGCCCGCGGGGGAGACCCCACCTGCCCTCGAAACAGGCGCCAAAAACAGCCATGAACTAGGGGTTCGAGGGGCCGCGCCGATCGGCAAAACAACGAATAAGGGAACGATCACCTCCGAATCATTACGTGTATGCCATGTTCCGTTCCCCTACGAAGCGATCCCTGCCTGGCTGCCCTGGCTGGCCGCCACGGGTCGGGGGCGCTCCATCGTGGCCATGGCCGCGCGGCGCCCTGTGGTCTGCAGGGGGCGGCGGTGCACCACCGCCGCGCCCGGCCAGGGGGGGGGCGGCAGCGCAGGCTTCCCGTCCGAGCCCGTTCGGCGCCTGAGCCCCTTCGGCTGCCGAGTGGACTGCCGATCGATCCCGTTCGATCGAGTTAGACCGATTGACAAGATCGATGGGATCAGACCGATCGATAGATCTATCGTGAGACGGGTACTTCTTGTTTCATCATGATCGGTAATTGAATCACTAGCGAGATTGACACGGCCTCGGTGCGGGACCCGACCTTGCAGTTCGATTTCACGAAGCGTTTTTACAGTAAGTGGCAAGACATTCGTGATGCAAGCTGTTCTCTTGACGAGGTTGCGGGGCAGGTCGAAGCTGCTTTTGGTGCTGCGACAGATATCTTACAACGCAGGTCACAAACCGCCCGGCGACCTTGGATCTCACAGGCTACTTTGGACCTCATCGAACAAAGAGACATCTACAGGCGAACGGGACATGCTTACAACGAGAATTCGCTCAACAAGATTATCCGGAAGGCTGCGCGGGCGGACCGCACAAATTGGATATACGATTCTCTTGCTGGAGGAAGTTGGAGCACAGTCAAAGAACTCCGGAAGAAGCCTCAAATAAAGCACGCAGGAGTCAGGGATATGAACAACAATTTGACCGATACCGCGAGCCGCCCCGATGCCTTGGCCGACTACTTCGAAAAAGTCCAGTGGCAAGTTACCTTCCCGGAGGTGGTTCCTACAGCTACGCGCCCTCTTGGTACAGAACTGCCGGTAGATGTGGGCCAATTTACTTGGAATGAGTTTTTCTACGTTTTGAAAAAGATGAAGAATGGGAAAGCGGCTGGCCCAGATTGGAAGACGGTATCTACGGATGCGCACGCCTGTCAAGCAGTACTGGAAGTATACCAAAGATGCTGGACAGAAAAGGACATACCAGAAAAATGGCACATGGCCAACGTCGTCCTTTTATTCAAAAAAGGAGGCTCCACATTACCAAGCAATTATCGCCCGATTTCGTTGCTTGCGGTGGGATACAAAGCCCTTGCGGCCATGCTACACCAGCGACTGCTTCAAGGTGGCGCGGAAGATCGTATACGAAGCTCGCAATTTGGATTCCGACCTCGGCGGGGCACCTCCGACGCGCTTCTGCTCGTGAGACGCATGATCGACGCAGCGCTATTGAACAACAATGGTGGCGTTATTTCACTTCTACTCGACTGGGCAAAGGCCTTTGACCGATTGGAGCCAGAATGCTTGTGCGCAGCCTTGACAAGATTCGGGGTACCCCCGCCTTTCGTGGAAATGATCAGAGGAATTTATTGCCGCCGGTATTTTACTATACTTGACCATTGTGGCAAATCTTCGCAACGATGTCAAGCTGCTGGCATTGCACAAGGATGTCCGTTATCTCCATATATGTTTATTATTGTGCAGACTGTCATGCTTCAGGACGCTTTCTCCGACCTCCCTCTTCAACAAGATCCGGGCTACGTGGTGACCAGAGATATTTTGTACGCCGACGAGACTGCACTAGTATCTCGACATCGTACCAGCTTGCAGCTCATGCTGGACGCTATTGTGGTAGAAGGACGGAAATACGGTTTGGAATTGAATTGGGACAGAACTGTGCAGCTTCAAATTGGTACTGTTGACTTTGTGAGGAAGCCCGATGGAGAGCCCATCAAGATTGTGAAGGAGGCGATATACTTGGGAGGCTTAGTGGCCTATGATGGACGCGTTGGCGATGAATTATCAAGAGGTCTCGGAGAAGCCAGAGGAAGTTTTGAGCAATTGTCTAAGTTGTGGACGCACTCCTCCATTGGCCGGCGGCGCAAAATACTCATTTATACCAGCTGCGTGCTCAGCAAGCTCTTATACTCATTGGATTCACTGTGGCTACTGAAACACGACAGAGACAGGCTCGACGCATTCCACTGCAAAGGCCTACGCCGAATCCTACGGATACCTCATTCGTACATCTCGCGCGTCAGCAACAAGGACGGACGTATTGGAAAAAGCCGGAGCAGAACCATTGTCTTCAATATTACGTGAACGCCAAGCACAACTTTACAGGAAAGTTGCTTCTGAGACCGACGAGTCGCTAGTGCGGCGCATTGTTTGCAATCGCGACGGCACGCCCAAAAACTAGGCTGTCCGCAGGCGCCGGGGGCGTCCCAGGCAGCAATGGGCAACTTAAGTACATAATCAGGCATAGTTGCATGTCTTCTGTTTCTCTTTGTACAAGTCTGCTGACTCGTTCTTTGTTTCGCCTACGCGTCTGCAAGGGATGCAAGGCCGCAGTCAGTCAGCCAGCGAGATTGACAGTGAGCTCGGTCGTGAGATCAATTGTGAGATCGATTGAGTGCGATCGATGGTGGGACCGATGGCGAGATCGATAGGGATATCGATAGTGAGATCGACAGTGGGATCGATTGTGAACGATAGTGAGATCGATTGTGAAATCGCCAGTGAGATCGCTAGAGAGATTGATCGTGTTATCGATTGAGTGAGCTCGATGGTGAGACTGGTAGTGAGATCGGCAGTCAGACCCATCATGAGATCGATACTGGGAACGATATGTCTATCGATAGTGCGATCCATCGGAAGATCGATAGTGGGATCGATTATGAGATGGTCCAAGATCGACGACCTCCCTATCACCCGAAGGGTGGTCGCATAGGTAGATTTAAGATTTGGCGCGGCTGCAATTGCATCCTTGATTAGGGCTGTCGCTGCCCAGTCTGAGGCGTGCGGCTGCATATCGCGGTCTTGCCGTCAAAGACCCGACTGGACAAGCAAGACATCTCGCTCCAGAGTGCATGTGTCGCGTTGTCCGCCCTTAGTCGTAACAACACAAGAGGCGCGCGAAACAAACCGACGGTCTGATACTTAGTTCGGACCGCGGAGACAGCGACCCCACACGCAGGAGGAACGGAACAAAAAAGAAGAAGGGAGGCGGGATGGAGCAGCAAGGAAGAAGAAAACGACTAAGACTGGTAATACAAAGAATCGTGATACTAATCAGAGTGAGGGGGCCGAACGGTCATTCATTGTCCGTGGGTGCGTGGCTGAAGTGAGATTCCGCGGTGCGGATTCGTGTTGTTGTTGTTGTTGTTATTGTTGTTGTTGTTGTTAGGTGTTAGTTGTTGTTGAACATTATTTATTCTAAAGAATAATTATTGTTGGGCCCCCTGGTGCGCGCCCCCCCTGCGCCGCCTAGGCCGCAGCTACATTTTCATCACTTTCGTGAGGAAGCCTCAGAAAAGAGGGTGTGTACAGGATCCGGTTGTTTTGTTGTAATCCGCTTTCCCTTGCAAAAAACAATAGAAAATGACATTTCTTGTTCTAATATAATCAAATTTCAAGAATCCCTTGCAAAAAATAAGGTAAAGTGGACATTCGCGCGCGCAAGACGAAATCCTTCCAAAACCTTAGTGTTCGCAGCGATTTTAACATAAAAACATCAAAAAACCAATGGTTTTTCAACAAAAAATTGTCAAAATCTCATCCCGCGCGCTCTTGCGGATTCGTAGGAAACCCAACACTTTTTAAACATTTCTGTCAAACGGGCTTTTGCGAGCAACTTTTTCGAACTTCTGCGACAACGGTTGCGCACCTGCCAGGGCCATCATCCCTGTCAAATAATACCATGCGGGACACATTCGTTTTTTCTTCGCGCGCGCACGCCGAAATCTCCAAAAACCATTGGGCTTCTTAAGAATTCTAGCACCGCGCATCATAAAATCACACGAATCGCACCGTAGGTCCTTTGCAAAAGATGTTCTGTGGAAGGCTTCACAACTTCTGTGGGTTAACAAGGCTTAACAACTTCTGTGGGTGTACGAACGTAGGCTTAACAACTTCTGTGGGTGTGTACTCCACGCCAGTGTAGTAGCCACGGTCGTCCGCAGGCCACGAAGTGAAGTGTCCGAACGTCATAGGGCGGGAAGCTGGGTGTGGGTGGTGGCGAAGAGTCGTGTGGATATTTGGTAGAGCTTGCACTGCCCCCCCACAAAGTGGGGGTATTGGCTGGCGTCGCATGAAAACCCTGGCACTGGTGAGAACACTGAGCGTTCGGGTAAAGTGATTGTTGTTGTTGTTGTTGTTGTTGTTGTTGTTGTTGTTGTTTGTTGTTGTTGTTGTTGTGTTGTTGTTGTTGTTGTTGTTGTTGTTGTTGTTGTGTGTTGTTGTCGTCGTTGTTGTTGTTGTTGGTGTTGGTTGTTGCTGTTGTTGTTGTTGTTGTTTGTTGTTGTGTCGTCCCACCCGCAACCCGCCCCGCGACCCACCCGCGACCCACCCCCCACCCGCGACCCACCCGCGACCCACCCGCGACCCACCCGCGACCCACCCCGCGACCCACCCCGCGACCCACCCCGCGACCCACCCCGCGACCCACCCCGCGACCCACCCCGCGACCCGCGACCGCGGCCCACCCCGCGACCCACCCGCGACCCACCCGCGACCCACCCGCGACCCACCCGCGACCCACCCGCGACCCACCCCGCGACCCACCCGCGACCCACCTTCGACCCAAACCACGTTCAAGGTACAAACCAACATTTTCGGTGCCTGCGGCGGGTTTTTTTTGCATTCCTTCCAGGTGGAGAGCCCGCGACCCACCCCGCGATCAACTCGCGACCAACCCGCGACCCAAACCACGTTCAGGGTACAAACCACATTTTTCGGCGCCTGCGGCGGGCATCTTTTGAATCGTTCTAGGTGGAGAGACCGCGGCCCACCCGCGACCACGTTCAGGGTACAAACCAATTTTTTCGGCGCCTGCGGCGAGCATCTTTTGCATTCGTTCCCGGTGGAGAACCCGCGGCCCACCCGCGACCCAAACCACGTTCAGTGTACAAACCAATTTTTTCGGCGCCTGCGGCGGGCTGCTTTTGCAGGAGGACGAGGAGGGGGAGGAGGAGGAGGAGGAGGAGGAGGAGGAGGAGGAGGAGCAGCAGGAGGAGGAGGAGGGGAGGGGACGACGACGATGACGTCGACGACGACGACGACGACGAAAAGGAGGAGGGTGGAGGATCGGGAGGGGGGGAAGAGGAGGAGGACGACGAGGAGGAACATGACGACAATGGGAGGACGATGATGG